TCTCTCTCTACTGTGCTATCCAATAAAGGCATAAAAATCCCAAAAAATATGTACTTTAAAAAGTTGATAAGGAAGACATTTGAATGAGCCGTCGCTGTCATGGGGGCCAGCGACGTCTTTAAGTTATGTAGAGCCATTAAAGTGGCCGGGGTACCCCAAGAGGAGCCCAGCATGGGTTTTCGATCTGAAAAATTATGCATTCCCAGAGGTCAGCGCTCGTTTGCATGTATTAGCTCTAGAATTGAAACAGATATTCAGGTAACATTAAAGCAATCAAAGGAACCCTAACTGACTAAATAAGCCAATTGCAAGTTGCTGTGTGAACTTAGATTGCATGGCTTCATCTTTGAGGCAAGTTGCTACTGGCAGGATCAATCAGGTTGCGCTTGGTAACAGAACAGCATAGGCATATGTTCAAATTGAAAACTATGGACCCCACGAGACACTCAACTGAGTGCATCAAGGGGGTGCCAAGCAACTTGCCCTCTCACTGATCTTTATAAAAAAGGATATCAAGTTTACTCATTTCAATTACAGGGCTACAAAAGTGTCCTGTATTGTTATTTTCTGTCACTACCTCCCAGAGTCAGGAGTGGTTAATTGGTGCGCTTTCTGCCTTCCTTGGATGTACTAGTCATTACTCAGGCTCTCTCTCTGGAATCGAATCCAGATTCTCTGTTATCAGTGGTCACCATGCTGGGCACAAAATATACCGTCAAAAGTTGATAGGGCAGACATTTGAATGATACGTCGCCGCCATGGGGGCCAGCGATTTCTTTAAGTTATCTAGAGCCAATAAAGTGACCGGAGTACCCTGAGAGGAGCCCAGCATGGGTTTTTTGATCTGAAAAATAATGCACTCCTAGAGGTCAGCGCTCAATTGCATGTATTAGCTCTAGAATTGCCCCAGGTATTCAGGTAACATTAAAGCAATCAAAGGAACCCCAACTCACTTAATAAGCCAATTGCAAGTTCACTGTTCCAGCCATGTGAACTTATTTGCATGGCTTCATGTTTGAGACAAGCTGCTACGGGCAGGATCAATCAGGTTGTGCTCTGGCATGGAACGGTGCAGGCATACGTTCAAATTGAAAACTATGGACCCCACAGGACACTCAACTGAAAGCATCAAGGGGGTGCCAAACGACTTGCCCTCTCATTGATCTTTGTAAAAGGATATCAAGTGTACTCATTCCAATTACAGGGCTTCAAAAGTGTCCTGTATTGTTATTTTCCGTCACTACCTCCCAGAGTCAGAAGTGGATAATTGGCGCGACTTCTGCCTTCCTTGGATTTCTCAGGCTCCCTCTATGGAATCGAATCCTGATTTTCTGTTACCTGTGGTCACCATGCTGGGCAAATATACCATCAAAAGTTCATAGGGCAGACATTTGAATGATACGTCACTGCCATGGGGGTAAGCGATCGTCTTTAAGTTATCTATATTCATTATAGTGGCCGGGGCAACCCGAGAGGCACCCCGCATTGGTTTTGGATCTTTTGGATTGGAACATGAAAGGGTGGTTTTCCGGAAGCTGGTGTGACATGGGAATAATTCAGCCGGATCGCCACTTGGCATCATTTTTGTTGGAACTACTATGGACTCTAATCGTCTTTAAACCTCTAACTTTCATTCTTATTTGAACAAAACATTCTTGGCAAATGCTTTTGCTTCCATCCTTGTTGTGCTGGTCCAAGAATTTCACCTCTAGCGGCTCAATACAAATGCCCCCCGCCATCCCTACTGGCAAGATCAACCAGGTAGCCCTTGTTTATGGAATGGTGCAGCCTGTCCAGACCACACACTACAGGTTTGCGGGGCCCCCAGACCAGCGGTTTGGCAGTCGAGGAAGGCATAATAACCTTATGGGGACATGAGACCCACCTCAGCTTAGGCTTTTTGAGCCTGGTAAGGTTTGAAAAACATCATGTTTTCTGATGGGCCCACCACAAAGAGGCACTGAGGTGTCTCAGGCTGGGGCTGTGTTGCCAGCATCTCCTTAATGGGTTATGTTGTGGGACAACTGGGGCAGACAGGACATCTCTGTCCCACTCAACTCAGCCTATGGGCCCCCAACGGCATGCAGCCGTCATTGGGGAACCCGTTCCTGGTAATCCTCCATAACCTCCAGGGGCCATTGATCACCCCCTCAACCAGGCCTATGAGCTACCTAAGGCAAGCATCCATCATCAGGGCGCCCATCAGTGGTAATCCTCCATAACCTTCAGGGACCATTGAACAAATTAGCAAAAATAAAAAACTCCATAAAACCTTCTAAGTCAGATTGGCGAAATCCTTGGGAAGAATGCAAGAATGCTAATGCTAATCGAATATGCCTATCATAGCGGTACTGTTACAGCACTTAAATGATCCTAAATGGTCCAACTATTCAGAAACAGCTTCACTACAACGATCAGCCAGCACAACTTTGTCAGCTCTCTGCACAACTTTCAGTGCAAAACCTGCGCAACTCATGTGTCACAACCAAAATAAAGCCGGTTATAATAACAAATTAAATTTACATTTCTCAAATATGAGCAAGTGATGTCTCACTACATTAAATCCTACAAAGAAAAAACATCTGATGCTGCCACCATGTTCACCGAGTAAAGGAGAGAGAGTGACAGTGAATGAAACAGACAGAGAGATAATGAGAAAAGGAGAGTGGTAAGCAACACAAGATCCACAGCAGTCACCCTCATGACACACACCATCACTTAACATTACGATTACTAATAGAATTATGTAATACAGTCACGAAATATCTTATTTAGCACGTCGATAGCTACCTTTTAGAAGCTATATCCAGGATTTTGCACAAAGTTTTCTGAATCCACTTTCCAGAGCAGGTCAAAACGACATCACGGTATTTTCTTCTCCTATTAATTTCGGTGTTCCTTTTGTCTCTCCTGTTTGTGTGTGTTTTCCACTTAGCAAAAACATTGCAAGACTAAACCATTCTGATTTCCAAAACCTAAGCCACTACTAAAAGCCACTAAAAACACGCAATAAATAAATACATATTAGAAGACTATTCGTATTCTTCCTCTGCCATAAACGACGGGAATTCCTCCTCTGTCTCGCATCAGAAAGTTAAGAAACTTAATGAACGAGGAAAAGCTCTGAGATGTATCTCCAACCAGATCCACTGTGTGTCTGCCAGCTGGTTTGTCCAGTCCACAGCTATATAGACTACTTTCTAATGTGGCTTTATACCGAATGATACGTCATAATGAGATCACAGAATTAGGGCGGTCCACAGCTATATAACTACTTTCTAATGTGGCTTTGATACCGAATGATACGTCATAACAAGATCATAGAATTAGGGCGGTCCACAGCTGTATAGACTACTTTCTGATGTGGCTTTGATACCGAATGATACGTCATAAAAAGATCACAGAATTAGGGCAGTCCACAGCTATATAGCATACTTTCTAATGTGGCTTTGATACGAAATGATACGTCATCACAAGAGCAAAGAATTCTAACACACACACACGGACATGCACATGCAAATGTCTGTGCGCATGCGCGTTTTAGTGCATTGAGATGCCATGAAATAAACTTTTTTTTATAATATTGAACTCCGCACAGCAGCCTACTACTTTATAAGTTGTAATTGTTAGTAAGTCATTCACTTTTTCCTCCAGCACTGTGAATGTTTGATGGCTGTTAAATTTGGACACAAAAAAAGTAAATTTGTATATAGCTACTTATGACTTAGATAAAAAAAAAATAATCAGATGACATTTTATGACCAATTATAGTTTCTATGCATTTAATGTTACAATGCTATAATAGTTGTGAATTACTAAATCCATGGTAATAAAGTAAAAAAAAAAAAAGAAGTACATTATCACATAGGAGACATTCTGTACATAGTGACGACGACCCTTATTATGTAAATGTCAGACAACAGTCTCCTTCAGTATATTCCCTGTGACTCAACACACCAGTGATGCAACCATTAGCCGTCTCTCACTGGTGTAATGGTGAGGAACTGCTCCAGGCACTTAATGTGAAATCTAACCAACTCATTGTGGTCTTCTCATAGTGTTGCATCAAAAGTAGCGTTTCATAAAAATGAATTTGATGTAAATATAAACAAAAACTCAACTTTTTAACCTTTGAAGTGGTAGTAGCTCTAGCCACCAACCTGCTGCAGCCTCCTCTCAGGTGTCCAGGGTTATGATGGACACTCTGCTCTACAGCACTTCACTTTCAATGAAGCAGTCAAAATCCAAATTACGCCAACACCTCCATTTTTTATTTTGAAGAAAACTTTATTGACCACAGTATCTCCAAATTAGTGTATATTGACCATAGTACTTAAGTGTTCAACAAAAAAAGTTACAATTGCGGCTTACATGTTACAAATAAAACAAAAATCATGAAAGAAACTAAATGACCTGTGATACATTCAGGGACTAAATGTGAAAATGTTTCCTGCTGCAGAGGTTTAACACCACTGAGAAGTTTCTGTTTTGGGAATAAGTTGATGAAAATGTGGGACATGCAGTTATGTCTTTGATTCTTCCATTTTGCTGACTACGTGGTGTGGTATACCTGGTCTAAACTGTTCAAAGCTCTTTTAAAATGACATTTTTAAAAACCCTATGGAGATGACTGGACGGTCCATAAATTGGTGTAGTGCATTTGTTGGCTGGCCTGTTTGCCGGTACTGGGCATCTGTGTTCCACTTCTTCTCCTGTCTGGGTAACACTGGACAAGTCCTCATGAGGACTCTAGTGATCCCAAAACATATCTTTGTCCATTATTTTATGAGTCATGTCCAGCTCTGTCTTAGCTGGGATTTTAAAATCCAAAACACATCCAGAGGTTGCTTTAATTGAAGGTGGGGCTTTTCTTCCTCTACCGCATCACAGTTCCCCATGTCCGCTGCTTGGCTTTAACCCACAGAACCAGACAGCATGTGGATCAAAATCCATCCATTAGTCGAAACTAAACCAGGAAACTCACCAAACTCAACTGTCACTGTAATTTAGCTCAGTTTATTTAAAACTGCTTTGTGCAACAGAATTCTCTGAAACTATGTCAGATTTACAAGAAGCACCGGTAATCTCTCCCCAGCAATCCCTTTCAATAAACATGATTAATAGCTTTGATTGAGATGAGCCAAGCTTGCACAGAATTATAGTAGATCAGCAGTTTTAACCACACAAAGCCTGGCAGTTAGAAATCATGCTGTTTTTTTCCTGCACTAAAAGCTCATTGGCTCAAATGTTTTCATTCCATATATATATATATACTCTGTTTAATGGTAAAATATTCAATTGTTAGTCTTTGTTTGAACTATGAAGGTTCATTCTGTTAAAAGTTTGGTTGATGACGACTTTTTTGAGTCCACAGAATCTGAAATAACTGTTCAATAACAGAACCTTCTGATCACAAATTATGATTTTAAAAAAGGACATTTGACCCCAGTCATGGTTAGGGTTAGTCTTATTTAGGGTGTGTATAAATATATATATACATATACATACAAATATATATATATATATATATATATATATATATTGTAATATTATCAGATAATGTAAAGATATGATATTATGCTGTGGCCCATCAAACTGAACATGAATCAGCAGTACCTCACAATCTCAAAAATATTCACCTGAATTCTGGGAAAGCTGGACATCGCCTCGAGTTGAGCTTTTCATCTTAAATAAGCCAATCTGACATCATCTATAAATGTATCTACTAAATACACAATGTGTACTGTACATAGCCGTAACTGATGACAATATGGTTTTAATCCCTTTAAAAAAATTCACTGTCTTCATCATTGTCCAGGTGAAACACATCCAGGTCAAAGTTCAGGTCCAGCCAGTTCTGCTCTCTTTGGTCGTCCTCTTTGATAGTTTCATATGATAGGTCCTCTGTGCTGGGTTTCTCATTTACTCAGGCTTTAGTCTATAAGATTAGTTTCTGACCCAGGATCTTGCGGTTGATCTCGGCCAAAGCCACAGAAAACACAAAGGCCTTCTCATCGGAAAGACTGGCATAAATATCCACTTCCTTCTCTTGTTTCTCTGTGAACAAAATAAAACACAATCAATCACAGGAAAGCCATTTTGGCGAAACTGTATTTAACTGATGTTGATAAAGATAAAATCAATTTGAATTTATTTCACAAGTATGACACAGAACTGTACTGTGGGCTGAAGGGTAAATTAATCTATATTACAGGGGGAGGTTGAACGGTTTGTGTAGGCAAAGACAGGTGAATGGGATCATGTTGAAAGTAAAGACAAGTTGTGAGTGGAACACTGAACTGGATGTGAGAAAGGCTTTTACAGAAGCAGGATGTTCAGACAGAAAACAAAGAGAACTGCAGTAACAAGATGGGAAATATAAAGAGTAATACAAGCAAGAGGATTGTCCAGAGTGGAAAAGGACCAGGGGCCAGACATACATAATTTCCAAATCATAGACTGCTATTTACACAGGAAGAATGTGCAGTGTGTGCACTTGGCTGAATACTTGATGATTATTTACAGAGATGTGTTTCCATATTGCCCAGTATGCCCAGTTAATCAATCAATTCAATATTTAGTCAACAGTCATTGTCAATCTATTGATTTCCATCTTGCATTAGTCCAAAGTTGTAACAAACCCCACCCCTCATTAGATCTACATGAATGACACAATTTATTTTGGTTTCAAAACTTTCACTGAAAGTTGACAAGTTTCCCTCCCTGTTTATAAGCTTGATTTTATAACTTGATGATTGATGCATTTGATCACTTTTTATTTACATTTGAGCCATTATGCCCCATTAATTTTATCCTCAAGTGTGAAGTACTGTGAAAGTCTTCTTGAATATGAGCACTATAAATTAATCATTGATTATCCATCGGATGTTTATTAATGATGACTGGGATGTTACCACAATGATTGTTTATGGTTACATTGTAAATCAATAATATGGGCTCTATAAAGCTGCTCTCAGACACTTCCTGGTTCCCAGCTCCCTGAGATTCTACCAGCCTGTACGACACAGGTACCTGGTATAATCTCATCACAGCTAAACAAAGCAGGTTGTAGTTTAAAATAGGAGAAATAAGTTAGCAAGTTTTAGCAAGTTTTGCTAACTTATTTCAGACCAGATAATCAAACTGAAGCTGTTGTTTCTCATGCATTTTCAAACAAGTCTCTTATTGAAGACCTTCCACACCTGTAATATTCAGCTGTAAATGATCACTTATTATACCTTTCTCCTCTTCCTGTTTCTTCAGCCCCACTGACTTTGGTCTGCCCCTCCCCCTCCGGATGGGATCTGACTGGCTGTTGGCCCGGGACCTTCTCCTGTTCTCCATGTCACTGGTTAAAGGAGAGTCAATCCTCTCTCTACGAATGCGCTCCGTCCTCCTCCGCTTAAAGTCCAGCTTGTCTAAAGAACATAGATAATAAAAACATATTACCAGAATCATCATACCATAATTTGTGTGTCAGACTGTTTCCAGGCTGACGTCTCTGATTTGTGTAAAGATTCATCTAAGTCTGGTGTTGTGCTCTTTGACCGCTGAGTGGCTGGTTAGATAAAAACTGGATACAGCTGTGAGGTTATTGTTAAATCACAAAATTAAAAGTCTTAAATCAATATGTTTATTTGATCAATGTAAAAAACATACCAATATTGGACTGAAGGATAAAGTAAACACAAAATGGCTCTGGTTATCAGGCTGTGATGTGTGATACAGCTAGGTAGTTTTTTGAGGTTTAAGTTTCCTGAGCCTCAACACAATCCTGTCTCTGAGCTCTGCAGCAGTTCCTTCCTCCTCATGGTTTCTGCTTTGATCTGCATTGTGAGACCTTATACAGATTGATGTGTGCCTTTACACATCATGTCAAATCAAGTGAATTTACCATAGGTGGATTTTAGTCAAGGTGTAGAAACATCTCAAAGATGATAGAGAGAAATGGAGGAACCCGAGCTAAATATCAAATGTGATAGCAAAGAGTCTGAATACTTATGTCAATTTGATATTTCAGTTTTCACCTTTTAATAAATGAGCAAAAATCAATTTTCTCTTAAGGCTGCAACATAACGAAATGAAAAAAAAATACAGCATTGTAAGATATAAAGAATTCATTTTTCATTAATTAATATCGCTTAGATCCACACACATTAAGAAGACTGAAACAAACAAACACAGGGTCAAACTAAATTTTCAGACATAATTGATAAGCTTTGTGGAAGCTGAACCTTACCTGCTATGGCTGGAGAGCGCTCGTTTAACTTGGCATTCAGGAGTTTTCTGCTAATAAACACATAACCACATGGGCAAGACTTGCATGCAACTGGAATCTAGAGAGGAACAAACAGGAAACATAAAGGAGATTTGATTACTGTTAAGGCTTACCACTTTAGAAAGGGGGAATGGAAATGTTAGCTTTGACCCATGGATGTTACAACAGAACGGCTCATAGAATCACACAGCACATATAAAAGGAGCATAAATGTTTTCAGAACTATGAGACGGTTAAATCATAAAACATCTTACATACAAATTGAACTGGTGTCATCAAACTTAAAGATGTAATTGCAAAGTAGTCTAGGTGAGTCTCACAGTGTGTGTTCCATGTCTTAGACTAATTCCTGAATTTAGACTGTAAAGGACAGGACTGATTTTAATAGCATACTGTGGTTTTCCAAAGTACTTACTTACACTCCAATAGTCTTGGAAACAACAGATCATCAGAAAAAGTGATAGAAATAGAATATCTGTACAAATCTGCATAATCTGCCAAGTTTCTGTTGTATTACTCCTCATTCTGTTACGAAGTTTCTGTTACAATTATTTTTGGAGTGGATGGGGGTCTTTAAGGCATGAATGCACATTTCCATCATTGGGAAATCTCTAGCCATAACATTGGGACGCTCCATCTCAAGCCGTCCATCTTAATGTTGGACTATTCTTCAGTATAAAAATTTACAAATGTCCAAAGCCTACATTCAGTGCTAGCTTTGGACATCAGGAGGAAGTTTGACCTTTATCAGTTATGATAAAAAGTAAGGGTGTAGCACCTAGGCTGATGGTAGGAGGTATGTAGCATGTTCAGCTATCACAGAATTTACCGTCTCAAACCAATAATTAATTGTTGCCATTTTTTTAAACCATGATCATCAATTTTCCTAAACCTTAACCTGGTGTTTTAGTTACCGAACCCTTCCTATATTACCTTACACTATGCTGTAGTTTCTATATATAAATAATTGTGCATTGTATAATTAAACAATGGTCAGCGCGGGGTTTTGTGGAACCAGCCTTATGACAAGGTCCTGTTTGGCAAGTGACTGAATAGTTTTGAATTTCCAGCATTAGTCCCTCTGTGTGCCAATAATTGAATTTATGTTAAGTGAGGGTTCTTGGAAAATACGATTTTTTATGATTGGTCTCACATTGTATTGAACATCATGGCTGCTTAAATGTTTTCAATATAATGTTATGCAGTACAAACTTTAGTTATCAGTTTGTGCTTACAACTTTATTAACATTGTCACAAAAATGCAACTTAGCTAACAGATTGATGTTTACTGTACTCAAACAAGTTTCAAGACTCATAGATAGATTTTGAAATGAAGAAATTGCTGCAGGGAGTTAAGTAAACAAACTAAAGACTCAAGAGTATTTAATATTTCTCTCCTGTGTCATCGTTGTAATATTCAGTAAATTTGAAATAGAAGTGATTTACACTTATTCTTTTGCAGCTGAGTTATTCTGTACAAACTGTACTGACTGTACAAACATTTCTTACAATAAGAAATTGCTTTTGCTTGCAGTGGTTGTGTGCAGCTGGTCATTCTTCTAAGCTCTTTATATTCTTCCTGAAATTTCCCATACTCAAGGCCTCATGAAATTTACACACCAGACTTCTTTCCAGAGATGCATGTTATGTAATATAAATTGTAACACTTCGTCCTTGTGAATACTATGCACTTTAAAAAACAGTCACAGCATAAAATTTGATTTATAGTGTTGCACATGGTAGTTCAGATGAAAAGTGTCGTTAATATTTGTGTCAAGAATGAAAAGAGAGAGAGTTACATAGAGGAGTTCAAACATGGCTCCTCTCTCACTGCGTGAAGTGGGTGTGAATGTCAGATTGCCAGTTTAGGCAGGTGTAAACACTTTTGATGTCCACGTTGGTCAGACCACAAATCTGCCCCAGCACTAATAGCAGCTAATGTAGCCTCAAGCTGCGAGCCTCAAGCAGAGATAAGGAGCAGCCCGTAAAGGTCTGACAAGCTCACCTCTTTCTAACTCTACAATGTTATGACCTAAAGTCAGTTTTGCTTTGATGTGTAACTTGACAGATCTCTCTCCTCCTATTTTGCTCAGCGTGAACATGTATCTGTGATGAGCAACATGACCGACTCATTTGAAGAGGGATTCCATTTAAACCCCAGCTGACAGTGACCTTCCCTTCTACACCTCTGACACTCCCAACAACTACAGCCAGCATGTATGAATATTACCATGTGACATCTGTAAGTAGAGTCATAGCTTTCTGATTTTGCACAGAACATTTGTATAAAGTTCTGTTAGTGGTTTCTAATAAACTTGTGTGAGATCCTTTTGTACTTGTTTGATATTTCTGCCAGTTTGTAAAAATAGTTTGTTGCTAACAGTTCATTGTATTTACAGAGCACTAGTAGTAGCAGTTTTTGTAGCAATCAGAAGCCATTTTGTGTACAGTTTTGAACTGTTTTTGGTTTAACATGTTTTATTTCAACGAGGGCTGCACAACTAATCGAAATACAATCAAAATTGCAACATAGCCAAGTGCAATATCCAAATCGCAGGAACTGCGATAAAATGTGTGTCATTTTTGTGCATTGTTAGCAACATAAGTGCTGTGGTGCTACAGAGACACCCAGCCTACAAATCATGTTCTCCAGACATAAAGGAAACCTGATTGTTTGGTACAAGAGCAACAAACATCACATCATCATCATTTTATATTTGTATCAGTGAAAATGAAACGCAAAGAAGATCATTCCAACTGAAATCGTGACTCTGAAAAATTAAGTACAATATAATTTTTTTTTTTGCATATCATGCAGCCATAGTTTTAACTTTTTTGTTAATCAGGAATCAAACTGCTGCTGTACATTGTTTGGAGTAGAAAGAGCGGGGGAGTCACAAAGCATGTTAGATCTAGGCTTCCCGCAGACTGATGACATAACAACAACCCCATACTTTTTCATTATCAAACTTGCAGTCTTCAGCCCACACAGGTGACTTCACCTGATGCAATTACAGATTTTACACTCCCTCTGAAGTAAATAAAAAAGTCTGACACAACTTCTTTCAGGTGTGCAGTGGTTCTTCCCAGAACTTGTGTGTGAAATAAGCTTCCCCTAGCTTCCCCTTTAAAAGAGAAACTGCTGTAGCATTAACTGCAAACCACGAAGAATTTATCAGCGACTCTGTGAAATGCTTTCTGGTATTTTATTTAGAAAATAACAGCAGAGCATTAGCTGTAGATGTACTGTAATTCAGCTTGGGCTTAAAAATCCCTACAATAACAGTGACTAGTGTAAGCTATGGGAAAGAAACCGAGCCAAATACCATCCAGAATTTTTTTAATCAAATATGGGCAAATTCACAAGCTGTAAAACAACTACAATAACAAAATATAAAAAATACAAAACCAAAGTATTTGCTAAAATAATATGGGTAATATCTATGCTAATAACTGCTGACCTATGTGTAGTTAGCTCCATATTTCAGAGACCATGAAGGCTCTCTTGGCTCAATAGAAAACCAGAAGCTAACTTGTTCAACCTCTGAGTGTTTGACGATACGGTCGTTTACACAACATGTGCAGTGGGGCTGCAGCTGAACCCCATTTCCGTCCTAAGGGCTGCCATGACTGTTCAACCGTCAATAAACATCACGAAAATCACGCAAACTACACAACGTACGCAAACAGTACCAACGTTCAAATTTGAACAATGTATTTTCTCACCTGTTGGTCGCATTCGGGACAAGATTTAGTAGCCATTTTGACTTTCTTTGTTTTATTTGCCGACATAGTCCGTCTCCTTCAGCGACTCGCCGATACTTGTATGTTAGCTACAACTTCTCTCTGTTACACATGGACGGTCACGGGTCTGCTCCAACCTACACTAAAGTAAACGGTACCCGCAATACACACAAACCGATAGAGCCAGATGACAACAAACCTTTAAGAAGCACATACATACTACAGTTACACTATTAATGCTACAGCTGCGAGCATGCGCACGGAGAGTCGTTCTGGTGGCGGGTTGCCTTCAAGTTCCTTGGGAAAATGGTAGATAGCAGACTCACTCTGGTTGAAGAATTGTTATGATTTTCAGTACAGTATTTTATTTTTAGGGAAACAAGATACCAACTGGAGCCCTATTGTATTTGTTCTTGGTGGCATTCGTATTCTTATTCTTATTCCATTGGTGAAGTGATTGTGCAAATTAAACTGTCAACGCTGCAAAGGTGAAATTTAAAGGGAAAGAATTAAGGGCATACAAATATTTTTGCTGTTACCATAACTATAATAGTAAAAATGTACAGTATTTTGATTCATAAATCACTAACTGTACATTGCACATATAAAATACTTTTTTATCTGTGTTCCTTATATAGGCCTTCAGCTAGCTACATATATTGTTTTAGGCCAGTCCATGTTTCTCAAGATTCTCTTGAACCTTTCTGTCAATATTATCGTTTACTTTTCGTTTTTTCACTTTGTTTATGACCTCCCAGCAAACAATTTTCGTGTACGTTCCCTGCGCTACAGTTTTCTTACTGTTCCTGAAGTATTCTTTAAAGTTTGCAAAAAATGTTACCTTGTGAAAAAATGTAACCTTCAAGGAACCATTAGTGAAGGTTCCCTGAAGGTAACCTGTTTGCTCGGTTCGTTCTTTGATTATACAGTGTCATCATTACGAAACTGTGTATATGTAGCTATATAACAATATTTTTGATTACTTTATCATAATTAGATACAGTGGCAAAAAAGTAAGTGCACCCTCTGGAATTACCTCAATTTATGTATAAAATTGTCTTAAAATATGATCAGATCTTCATCCAAATTACAATAATGAACAAACACAATCTATTTGAACTAAAAACCCACAAATCGTCATATTGTTCTTGTCCATTCTGAAACATTCAAACATTCACAGTCTATGCTGGAAAAACTATGTGAACCCCTCAGCTAATGACATTAACAAAAGCTAACAGTTATCAAACCTGGTGTCCAATCAATGAAACCAGATGGAGGTGTGGGTCAGAGCTATTCTGACACTAGAACAGCTTGAGTTTGCCATTCACAAGAAATATCTGCTGATGTGAACCAGGCCTTGCAATAAAAACTTCTGAGAAGACAGGTCAAGAATTCATTTGAATGAAGCTGCAAGAAAGGTTCCAAATAATTTTAGAGTTTAGTTCATCAGTTCACAGTCAGACAGACTGTCTAAAAATGGAGATGATTTAGTTTTGCTCCTGAAGTGGACATCCAGTTAAGATGACTCCAAAGACCCAACGTTGAATTATCAGTAACAAAGAACCTCAGAGTAACAGCTGAAAGCTTAAAGGAATCATTGGAGCTGGTCAACATCTCTGTTCATGAGTCCACCACACACAGATCATGGAGCATGGTGACTGGCCATGGACACCATGGAGGAAGCTGCAGCCCCCCCCCCCCCCCCCCCAAAAAAAAAAAAAAAAAAAAAACATCCCTGTGCCTCCGAAGCTCGCCATCATCAATGGAAAAATGAATTTTATCAAGGTACTGGATAATATCAGGGTATTTGTTCGCCTGCTGGAGCTCAGTAGACATTGGGTGATGTAGCAGGACAGTGACCCCAAACACCAAAGTAAATTTGATACAGAATAACTTCAGACAAGGAAAATCCACCTTCTGGAGTGATGTAGTCAGAGCCCAGACCTCAAGGCAGTAGAGATGCTGTAGACCTGAAGAGAGTCATTCACACCAGACATCCTGAGAATCTGTCTGAGCTGAAGCAGCTCTGTAGGAGGAGTGGTCCAAACTTCCTTCTGAACCTTGAGCAGGTCTGATCAGCAGCTACTGGAGGAGCTGGTTTGAGGTTATTGGTGCCAAATGAGGTTCAACCAGTTATTAAATTCAATGGTTCACTTACTTTTTCCAACAGCACTGTGAATGTTTAATGGCTGCATTCAATAAAGACACAAAAGATTATAATTATAGTGTGATATTAGCTTAGGGACACTGTGTTTGTCTACATTTGTGACTTATCTATAACCAGTCAATGCAGAATGTTATTTTTTTGGTCATTTTTGCCTTTATTCAGATAGACAGACAGGAGAGTTTTACATCTAATAAGTCTTCAAAAGTAATATTGCTGGACTTTCACCAGTACTGACAGACCTCTGCGTTTAACACAGGATTGTTTTCAGTCTGATTCCCATTTTATTATGTTACTCTACTACTATTATGTTGACCAACCTTTTCTCTTTGTACCTGAATGGAAATAGAAATCTGAGAGTCAGTCGGAAGGACATGAATTCAATCTGCTGGGTATAGTTCAGTCAAAATGATCAAATACTTGAACACATTCAAAATATGAAGCCAACATGAGCTTTAAAAAGTTATTATATCAAATGACTCATGTAAGATGATTAGTAGATGACAATATGACAATTCATAATTAGTCAATACTGTTTCTGTCTCAGGTCTGTGTTTGTTTTTACACGATTGTCCACAGCTTTCACACTCTCTATTTCTGTATTGATGTCTTTGTTTGGCTCAGTGGATTCTTTCAGTGTTAGAGGGCTGTAGTCTGGTGGTTACAGTCTGCTGATCAGTTAGACAGATAGAGCTTCAAATTTCAGGTTGGCCAGAATGTACTCTTTGATTCCACCATTTGACATGTTTATATGCATTTATAAGCATAAATTAGACTATAATTTACATAAATAAATCTGTGAATTTCACAGACACTATCAGGTGACACATTTAGGCTAATTAGTGTATTATCATGTGACATGTAAATTGTCTAATACATACAGTGTGGTTGAAACTGTCAGTTGTGTTATACAGACACAGATGCACTAACACTCAGTTGAATGATGAGAGACATCTGAATCTCTCACCACTGCTCCATTCATTATTGTACAGCTGTTATTAGGGGGTGTGGCCACAGCTCTTTAAGCTTCAAAGAAGAAAAAACTGTGCACTAAATATGGATAAATATATACATTTATATACAGTATATAGAAGTACAGCATAACATACATATATAGCATAACTCGAGTATTCAAGAGTTGATTTTTCTAACAAAATGCACTTGAGTAACTGTAAAATGTAGCAATCTTCATAATCAAACACCAGAGGAACAGAAAAGAGTTTTTACTACAGTTAGTGTTGAAGTTTATTTAAACCTATTATTCCTTCTGTATGTTAAGAAAGGTGAGTATAGCTTTCATTATCTTTCACCATTTCCCTCATTGATTCATTCATTCATGTCACTCAGCGTCTACTTCTTTCAGAAGCTGGAGTCTATTTCTGATCAGAATCATATCTGCTGTGGTTGATTTTCTTTCCACAGTAGATAAATCAGTGAATAAGAAAAAGAACTTAATATATATCTTATTCTGTCTTTTATGTTTGAAATATATTGCATTTATTTCCTCATTATATTTACATTCTTGTATATTTTCTTCCCTCAGTATGATAGAATTCACCATCAGTGTATATGAATGTGTCAACAGCTCACTACGTCCACAGGCCAGAGAAAAAACCACCAGTGTGCAAAGTGTGATGCTGCTGTAACTCAAGTAACATGAGATAATAACATAAGACGATAATATATGACAGTCACTCAATGTATTAATAATGATAAGATTTTATTATATTCATATGCTGTGTGTAAAATTAACAAAATGCAAATATTCATTGTTAATTTCAATTTTATTTCAGTAAATGACAATGATAATTGCTATTTAATCTGCTTTTTTCTTTATCTGATTTACAAGTGGGTTTACACACAGATTCAAAAGGGGAGAGAAGTGGTGAATACCGCCTCCAACAAATCAACATTAGCTAAAAAAAGAGAGAAATCAGCAGACAGTCAGATGCTGCAGCAAATTATCCCAAAATCTAACAGACAAACTTGTACATCATTACTCAGTATGGCAACTTGTCAAGGTTACAATCCTGAGGAGTTGCTGCACCCCCCCTCCCCCCCTCCACAACAGATCCATCTGAAAGGGCAGCGTCACCAAGCAACAGGATTTCATTGATCAACAAAAGTCAGACACTGTAGTTGGTGGGATCTATATAGAGTAAATTGACATTGAAGCCAGGCCGTATGGTACAAGAATACTAAAGCATGCAAACACATGCTGCTGCAGTTCTGAACATGTCAATCCATGTGCGAGAAGTCCAGAAATAAACTAATACATACAACATGGAGTCTACAGAGATGGAAAGACAAACCTGATGTTATTAAAAACGAAGAGCTACTGAGGTGTGACAGGACAGGATCTTTTGAAAAATATGAAAATTTTCCCACATAGATTTGTGGGGTTATCTGTAATTTTCTTTGCAGCCCAGCTGGGATGGCGTAAGAACTGAGGGTCATGCAATACTCGCACAATCATTTAATGAATCGACTCAAGTTACACAGTTTTTCCTGTGGGGCCAAAGTTTGCATGTGTGTGGTCTTCAGTGTGGTTGGTCCCAACCTGTTTAAAACGTGCCACGAAGCCGTCCTAGAGAACAGCAGAGTTATTGATTATTCAGGTTTGGAAACTAGCTCATATGTTTCACAGCTGTGACGCCACTACGTTATTCTGTAGCCTTTATACACTCAGCTAATATATCCACTTCTCAGTATGGAAAGATGTGAACGAGTGAGGGGTTGATGACTCAGTGTATACACCTATCACAGCTAGTAAGTCTACTATTGACAATAAAGTGATGCAGGTTAAAGGTAAATTGGTCAAGTATGAATTCATAAAGGAATGATTCCTAAGACTTGCCACAAGTGCAAATTGAAGCTAAGTACACTGTTGCTGACACACATTTCTTAAAATGTAACATCTCCAACCTGTTGCAGAAAATACTTCTGCTATAGAGGGACAGTGAGGAGGAAATGATGCAAACAAATTAATAATAATGATTAAAAAAATGAAGGACTGAGTTCTTTTAGCATTTCTTGATGTTTATTTTTATTCCTCGCCTCTGTGTGTCCTTGTGAGTGTGTGTAGTTTTATATTCATAACATAGTGAGACATCTATGGATGGACTTCACATCCTTCCAACCTGCAATAGTTTTAAAGTACCAGGCCCTCATAGGCGGGGCCCTCAGACTCAGGGGATTCTCTCTGCAGGCGGAGATGCTCCAGTGTATTGTGGAAGTGTTTGTTGATCTGCTCCGTCTCCTCACTCGCCTCCAGGTTGGGAAGGTCTTCCCTGATCTTTTGGATCAGCTGGTTTAATACCTGGACAGTCACCTGGACAGGTGGAGGATAAGAGACAATTTAAGGTGTTGCATTCACATTATATGGAAGCATCTGTCTGTGTTTTGGAGGTTAAAAACAATAATTCTGGGGTATTTATGTGCCCACTCTCATTTGAAGCCATCAAAGGCTGTGAAGAAGTCTACTGATTTAGGTATAAACAATACGATTTAAAATATTGAAAAATGGCTTTGCAAATGTTTTAAGAGGAAGGAAATTCATTCAAGAATACATGCACTGAGTGTCTGTGAGTAACACATATAAATATACAAAATCATAACTTTATTCACAAGAAAACTCCACTGAGCAATTTTAATGTCAATTTCAGTTTTAATAGGAGTTTAAATGTAATCATATGAATGCAAGGATGCATCTCTATGTTTAATGGTCATGGCCACAGTGATGCTTTTCCTATATGATGTCTTTGCCTGCACCTGATCACCAAGACATCATTTCTCTCTGTTGACATCAGGTGTTCTCCCTACACTAGTTACACTCAGGCTACGTCCACACTACTACGTTTTCATTTTCGCTTCCTCCTGCCGTCCGTCCACACTACCCTTGAGTTCTCGAGCCCTGAAAACAGAGACTTTCAGAAACACTGCTGGTCCTGTTTTAGTTTGAAAACTACGGGGTTGTGTTGTAGCCTGGATGGGCAAAAACAGAGCCCTTTGGAAACAATGACATGGACACCCACTGGCACTTCCTAATTGGGTCTTATCAGCCTCGATTACCAGTGGTTAAAGCAACATGGATAATGAAATAAAAGCGTAACTCACTGTTGTTTTTGCTAGCAGCTGTTGTGCAGTTAAATTCTGCATTTTAACACTAAAACTGCCTTTCCTGTTCCTTGTTCGTCGTGTTTTGTGCAACCAATTAACAGAGTAGACAATCTACTTCCTGTTTACACCGGCTCAAGAATGCCCAGTGTACGTGAATGGTCATGTATGTATGTGTTTTCAGGTGTGTTAGTATGGAAGGAGACTGTTTCTGAAACAGAGCTACAACGCTCGTCTGGACAGAGATAGTTTTTGTGTTAAAATGCTGTTGTAAAATGAAAACCTAGTATTGAGGACGTAACCTGACCAGGTTTCTCCTTTACATGTAAGAAATCAGATTACTGCAGAGTGACAGCAGTAACCTGGTTACTGAAGAGCAAACTGACAGTTGCTCACAGCGCAGCTTGGAACAGAAGTCTTAACCATGTAGAAATCTGATGTGTGGTTTCCTACCGCATCGTTTTCCCTCTCATAGAAGCAGACGTATCTGTTGAGGATTTCAATGAAAAGCTGGACTTGCAGTGATGGGTCCATGCACTGGTTGGCAATCTTCAAGGCTTTCTTTAGACACTCCATCACCCGCTTACCATCGCGGATCTAAACATGCAACAGCATTAGTTAGCAATGACAGCTGTGGAGACAGATTTAAGTGCAACATACATGTGTCAATACTGTGATCTGGTAAATTTATTTGTATTATTATACAATTGTTGGAAAATCTAAAAAAAAAAAAACAAATTTTCTTCTACAACCACTGCATTTTCCAATTTGAAATTTTTGGGCCATCCTGGTGGCCTCACGGGTTTTAGACATGTTTTTTTTTTAAACTACAGTATATTCATTGTCTTTTTGTTCAAGCATAGCAGTATCTTCCAACGTGCAGAAAGCACACACCCCCATATACACAAACCTTGTTCACCATAAAATATGACAATTATCAATTTGCAGTGTCCTGTCAAGACTTGCACATGGTTATTTTAGGGTTAAAGACATGTTAACTATGTTATTATAATGCCTCTGCTTCCAGCCCACCCAGTAACTTTGTTGCATTTCAACACACCTCTTCACCATTCTTGTCAGTGCTGCGACCGGACCAAAAGAGGTGGGCACAGATACTGACGGCTCGGCACTGGTCGGGCTTCTTCAGCAGCTTGGAGGCAGCCAGCGCACACTGGGTCCTCAGCGGCTCATGGTTTTCTTCACTGAAACAACGCATTCGCTCAAAGGTTCCAATGATCAGCGTGATGGCTGCCAGCTGGGCTTTGGAATCACTTATCTCGTCCTCATACAGAGAAAAGGCCTGGGGAGAGGTGAGCCGCAAGAAGTGGGTGTGGTGGGCAAGGAGGGAGAGAAGAGTATATATGAGACAATGGATGTGAACAGGAGGGAGAGCGAGATATGGTCATTTACAATATTTGAAAATCAAAGGTACAATGATGCCTCTGGAATTTTTTTTTTAATAGTTTTTGTTTACCCCCGGTTAGTTGTTCTATTTTCAGTATAACTACACTTGAGTTGCTCAGTGCTACTTTTCTATGAAGTAACACCATAAATTCACTTCTGCTAAAATAAAAAAAAGCACCGAATGTTTTTGAAGGTGTTAGCAAATCCACTTGAACCGTTTGTTTCTCAGTGCATTTTGACCAATATGACCAATAACCAATAACAATGACCAATAAGGACTCAACATATTTCCATTCATCATCTATGGCATCATTTTCTTGTAACTGAAGCTCACACTCTCTCTGTAGCTGCAGAAAAGGCAATTCAGGAGCTATTTATAAGTTTTCTCTGCCACCAAACATGGTTTCTTGCTGGGAGCAGGTGATGGTGGCTTGGCAAGAGCTTCAGTCATCGTTGTATTTACAAGACAATAGGTTATAATACGTCCTCTGAGCTGCGCTACGCTGTCAGAGCAGACTGGAGGCAGTAGTGAGTCACTATCGGAATGTGACAAGATGGGCCAGAGCTAGCTGGTTAGCGTGCTAACTTCAGTAGAAGAAAAGATGTGATTGAGACAAGGGTTAACATTGGTGTTGCTTTCCACATCTGGAGACAGCTGTTGGTGAGTAAGGAATGAAGTTTGATGATGAACTCATAACGTTTCTTCTAGATTGGTTAGTAAACAGCTGTTACAGTTAACATTAGTTATGTAGCAATAGCAAAACTTACAAATAGCTTCTTTAAATTTAAGAAGTGTCCTCCATACTCTGGGCAGCAGCCAAAATACAAAAGGTACAAGTGTATGTCTCCCTTATACATTTTCAGTTAGCCTGTCTGTCATGTCTCAATCTATATACTAAATAAAAAAAAAACAATATGTGGAAATGTAATAGTTGTTTTATCATCTGCTGTATGTAATGTTCTTCTGAATGTATTCTAGCACCTGTAGCTTTCAACCTTATCCATAAACATTTAACTCTTGACTTGTACATGAATATGAGGTCAGCAGCAACAGATTTGCAATCATAGATAGCAAGGGCAGGAGGCCAAAGGATTCACGATCTTAACTTGGGTCACTTCACATCTGTACTTTGGTTAATTTGGTCTGCATCAAAGACAAGCTGCTTTCACTACATAGCTTGTGTGAGACACGGTGTAGGCCTGAAAGCACAGGAGATTCAAAGAACTGACAGATTTATTCTACCTGTGACATGAACTCGTATGCTACAGTCTCGTGGTTCTCAAAGCCAATCTCGCCTGCAGCCAGTGCCCCCTGCAGGAAGAGTCGAAGAGGCAGCTCAGCAAGCTCGGCCTTGATAAGTGCACTGATGGTCTGGTGGGCGAAGGAAAAGATCTTCTGACACTTCTTTTCCCACTTGTCATCCTGATGAGAGAGAAAATTGGGATAAGTTAATAACAGGATCGACAAATCTACAAACACAGCATGTGAGTTGCGGTGAAAAGTGATGTTTGCTCACCAATGAGGAGTTCTCCTTGTATCTGAAGGCCAGCTGGTAGGCAGCGAACACCAGAGGAGGAAGTGTGTAGCGAATCCTTTGGTTTCCACCGGCACCAAAGTGTTTTCGAGCTGTGTTCAGGATCTGGCCACAAATCATAATGTTAACATCAATAATGTCAATGAACAACTCAGACAACAGCAGAGATACTATGGGATGATAAAGTTATAGAACTATGAAAAATGTGATGGTTTTAAATCTGTCAACATTTACCGAAACATGCTGTAAAATCTCAGATTTTTAAACACATATTCATACTTTCAAGGCAGCCACTGATTGCCATTCATTTTCATACAGTACACAACAAGTCTGAATTGGTCAAGGTAGGAAAACACTTCAAGGGAAACACTACAGCGTAACTTCTGAAACAGTCAGCAGTAATATGAAGTACAGCTGTTGCAGTATAGAATGCAGTTAATCTAGTACATGTGATAAATGTGCAAAGTTGAGGAAAGGACCTACAAGGTACTGTTGATCAGGATCTTCAGAGTGGAGGAGATGGATGAAACGACCCACAAGGCTCTGCTCCTCAGCAAAGTCCTCAGGGTCAGGATCATCAACTGGCTGGTCTGGCTGGTCCTGGATCAGCGTGGCTACCAAATTCAAGATGGCGTCCACCTAGAGAAACCAGAGAGGGAGTGAGGAGTTTTAATATGATGTACTTCATGTACTACACTGTTTTTCCTGTTTTTGACTGAGACTGATGCACTCTGAGGTAATGTGTCAGAAACAGGTCTAGTATCTTGTTTTTGCTAGCTTTAGCTAGTTATTTCTAATAAACTGCTATCTGAGTGTAGAGTAACAGGGAACAACATTCAATACCAACTGAGTGTAGTTAAAAAGCAAACATGTAAATCTTGACATCCTTGTGGTTAACCGACCTGTTCCTGTGCCACAATGGTGGTGTTGTAGTCCAGCGTGTTGCTCAGCACGTAGCAGCTCATGCTCTTGCGCGACTCATAGTCAAAGTACTCGAAGAGTGGAGGGAAGTGCTTGAGCTGCAGGACTGTCAGGATGTTGTTGTAGGTATCCACAGGGATCTTCAACAGTCGGGTGAGTTCCTTTGACACCGCGCTGCTGGTCGCTATGCTACAGGAGTGAAAAGAGCAAGTCAAAGTGTGACACAGTAAGTACACATTCTATCCTGTCTGTGATCATATTAGAGATAAGGTTTATATTGGAGTAACGATTCTACATGATGTTTCTGATCACTGTCCATTGTCTCGCTAATTCAAACAACAATACTCTCCCTCCTCTCTTTTAACTCTCCTCTCTCCATTTCTGTTTTTAGTTCTCTGTATAGTATGAATATACGTCTCTAATTTTGCTCATTGTTCCCAAGACAGGTTTTATTTTTCTAAGCTGAACAAAGACTGAATTTGTATCTTGTCTCATTTGTAGTGTTGTAACAAAAATGTCAACTTTCTTATGTTTTAAAATTACTGCAAACTTACAAACCGTAAACTCACTATCTGACATGTCTTAGGCCTGACAGCTAACAGCTGACACAAAAAAATGTAAAACGTTAAATAATGGTCAAATCTTAATTATTGCTGGACTCACTCTCTTGAACCCACCAATAATATTTCATCATATACTGTATCCCTTAAACTCCAATGTGTCACGAGTATGAGCACTTACTGTTCCAAGTTGAGCTTGTTGAAAATCTCCACAGTGCTCTCCAGGACCTTATCTACATAGTCAACACGGTCAGGGTAGCATTTCATGGCCAAATTGATGAGGGACACCTGGAGAGAGACCACGTCCTCTGATGGCATGTCCTGGCGAGACTGAAGGAGGTGGAATCAGACAGTAGATACATCAACATGGCCAGACCTACGTTTTTTTGATACTTTAACTTGAAGTCACCACATCTCAGGAGGAACAGCCTAGTTAGTTTCCTCTGGTGATGTGTCTGTAAATAGTGATGCTAAAAAGTGTTCAATAATGAATATCTGATCAAAGTAAGAACAGGAACAGAAAAACAAAACTTTAAACAGCAGAGATTCAGATACAAGCTACAAGAATGCTTCAAGCTCCTGCTGCTGCTGAAAATAAATGAATAAATATATAAATTAGAGCTGGTTCTCCCTCATTGCTTGCGCATCCACAAAACTATCAGGGGCTTATTTTAGATACAATAGTTTTGGCCATAAACAAACATCATAACCTAACCTCTGTACAGCGTTTCTCTAGTTTATTTTATGGTGTTGTGCCGCTGTGTAAATGTTTTAATTGTGACGTGCCAAGGGACTATAGACTGCAAAATTAGCTTTAAGCTAACTGGTACAATACATTAAATGGTAACATTTTAGGAGCGAGTATACTCTTGATTTCTGATGAACAGAAGAACTGGCTGGATGGAAATGGGCATCATCAGAAAATCATATCATCAGAAAAACCGTGTGAGTGGATAATCACACCAGCGGAGGGACACACTGCTCGCTGAGTGCAGAGTTTCTATCACTAACAGCAGTGCAGTTTCAGCAGAGTGACCACTCCTGACACCAGACTGATTTAGATCAAGTAGATTATTTTTGAGAGAGGACCTTTAGTAGTAATGGCAGTAGTGACACTGGCCTGTAGTTTTCAACTTGACATGTATTTAGTATTTGCCACTGAGGTCTATAAGAACTCTAGATTTACACCATTTTCTCTTAGTAGCTCTGGAAACAAAACATCAGATCACTGTGGCTGTGATGGAATAGCTTGAGCAGGTCTAATGGACAGAGGGCAGAGATTGTCCAGACAAGAGCTTAGAGTGGAGGAGACTGTATCTGTAGCATCATTTATCATTAGTGAGGAGGATGTGATCGGGCGGGAGAGGGTGGAAGTGACTGGTGATCTGAGTGGTGAGAAGTGAGAGGGCACGAGGCTGTGGACATTGTGTCAGACAGAGACCATCAACTTCAGGGAGGGACACAGTGAGCTGAATGAAGAAGTGGTCTGACACATTTAACTGGGTAACTGAGAGGTTATCTGTGGTTCTGTTCCTTATCAGGATGAGGCCCTGCAGGAACAGCTCATCAATGAAACTGTTAACTGGAAGTTAAAGAAAATGGTCAACATAGACAACCCTATCAAACATTTGCAAGGTGTGGGGGGAGGCGGTTTCAGACACTATCCGACCATGTGACACACAGTTCAGAGGGGTATAAATCCCACTCAGGAGAAGTGGTCTTAAGGTCTGACACTTCAGTGTTGCTCTTTGTATAAGTCCTGCATACTGAGTGTCAGATATCACACAGCTGATGACTGAATCAAAACTGAATTCCAAAGAGCTGAGTCTGCATTCATCACGCAATGACAGTGGTCATGACTGAGTCTCCTGAAACCCACACTTGTGTAGAAAATACACAGTGAAAGACAACAACTATCAAAACACCCAACAGTAGCCAGTAGCAAGCAGTAAAGTGGTGAATGAATCCTGCCTGAATGGGACTTTAAACAGCACTTTTACTGTGTATATACTAATGAAATGATCTCAAAGACCAGGTAAACCTAATAGAACCTACCTGAATGACAGTGGCCACTTGTTGAGAGAAAATGTCGAACAGTTTGATCTCAGCTGGAATGCCAGGGCCATCTTCTCGATGAGCAAACAGAGCAAGTCTGAAACACAAAACGGAAATTGGCAAATACGTTTTAGTTTTAAAATGCATGTTTAAACCTGACGTCCACATTTCTCCAAAATTTTCAAGCCCTTAAAATTGAGGCTTTTAGAAACTCTGCTCGACCTGCTGTAGTTTGAAAACTCCAGGGTTGCTTTTGAGTCTTAGTTTTAGGCAGAAACTTTTGGACTTTTGGTACAATGACGAAGACATCCACATTCCATCCATGATGTATCCTTCCCTGATTCACCATGCTCCTTTCATGTGACCCTTTTCCAATTAAAAACAAGTCCCAATCTATGTTTTCCGCCACCATGACCACCTTATACTTGTGTTGATGCAGTTTCAACAAAGACTGAACATTACACACTTTAAATTAATATTTATTGTATGGCTATTATATTGGATCATAATACTCAGTGCACAATTTTCTGGGTAGTTTAAGGATGCAAACAATTCATCACATTTGTTATCGTAACATTGGTTCATTTTGCTTTAACAAAAGCAAAAGATGTATTTACAGAGTTTCTACATTAATTTCCATTAACCTTGTTGATTAACAATGAATTAAACTGCACCTGTCAATGAGGGCAATGATGATGTTCTTGACGTTGACGTGTTGATGGAGCTCAGCACAGGAACGCAGGAAAGGGTTCAGCGTCTGAAGGTGGAACTCATCTGGAAAAACCTTACAAGACAAGACTGGTTTAGTCCATGAATGTAGGGCTGTGCTTACACTTCATATTATCTATTTATCTGTGAAACTGGATTTAAGAGCTGGCCTCAATATTTGTCTTCAAATGAATATTTAAATTTTATCGTTCACCAATATCAAAATATACTTTTTATATTTGCTGTAGTTCTAAATTTAGATGTTTAGATTCTTAATCATCATGCAACACAATTAGGGAGGCATGTGACTAGTCCCAACGAGGAGTCCTGCAACACATGGCTAAACCATAACAGAGACAACATCTCAACATAGTCAAGTCAGTATGGGATCACATGAAAAGTCAGCAGCAACTAAGTCAGCCTGAATCCACAGAAAAACCGTGGCAAGTTCTCCGAGATGCCTGGAACAACCTACTGATTTGCATAATCTTCCCAGGACTTTAGGACGGGGTGGAAACGAAGACAACAATGGGCAACAGGAACCTTTTAGTTCCAGGTACTTTTTGGTCGAAACGCGGCTTTAGTCGACATAGTTTTGATTGGAAGTGGGAACATTCATTCAGTGAGTCAGTCACAGACAAACATCGTTAACACAACTGGTCACTGCCATTATTAGATATCAATGTAACTGAGCGTCTTGGCTTCACCTAACTGGGCATATTACACTTGTCACTCCGTGACTCTTTGGGGACACACTACCTCAAATATAAAAACATATAGGAAACACAGTGTCATATTTAGATTAAAAATGCACTCACTTGCATCGAAATGATAGCAGAAACAGTGAATGCTTTAAAATTAAAGTGGAAATCTCAAAGATTTCAGTCCTGGTTCAGTTTGTATTAGCAGCAACTTGTTACAGCAGAACATGCCCAGTATACTTTCATCAGTGCGCCATAGGCTCAATCATTGTTACTTCATTCGGCAGAAGATAGTGATATTTATCTCAATGAAAATCTTCCAGGCTGCCACTTTAACAAAGAAACTTAATTTGATCTGGATCGGTCAAGTCCATGTCATGGCCAATAACAAATCAGTTCAATGAGGTCAGTAGTGGCACCGACACAGACTGAATCAAGGCATCGCCGGTATGTACCTGAATTATGCACTCCATGAGATACTCTTGAGCCAACGAGTCTCTGCAGTTCACAACCTGCTCCAGCACTCCAGCAAGAACAATCTGTGAAAAGAAACAAACAAAGAAGAAAAACTGTTTTAACAGACAGATGTCGAATTACCCAGACAGACTGTACATTATGTGCCAAGATGTCAAATACAGCAAATATGACAATAAAGGAGGAAAAGCTCCAACCCCCAGAATCAGAATAATGAAAAATGATATAGTTCGACTTGTTTGCCCACTTCTCTTCGGTTTATATATAAATAACTGACCAGAATCATGTCTTAGTGCAGGGATTGACATATATGCAGACGATGCAGTCGTATGTGTATCCAGTTCAACTTTTTTACCAATTTTTACTCAGCTGTTACAACAGCTACTGCTCGTGGCAGCATGGTTTAAAAATTCATGTATTACACTCAACATTATTAAAAAGGTGTCAGTTTGCCTTCGTCAACAGTTAGCCTGTTAAACTTAAAGATTAAGTTTAGGAGGTAAAATATCTTGGTCGTGTGTTAGATTATCAGCTTAAATTTGAGAAACATGTTAAAATAGTGAGCAAGGTTGCTCATTTAGAGATCATTTTATGCTCTAAATAGTTTTATGCCTTCCATGATCTTTTCACATTTAACTTACTGTGCTTTTTGGTCCCAAGCAGTCTGACAACAATCCAATAATGATATATAATCTAGCAAGGAAAACTTTGGACAGGAAGAAAATTAGATCACAACACTGCCATGTCCTCGGGAAATTAAATGTGTGAATACCTTAATTAATACTTAAATCTTTAAGTTTTAATAAGTGTAGATTGATGGGCCAAAAACAGTTTTATCCATCTAAACACAAGAAAGTGCAATAAGTGAATGGGTCTGAGTAATTGTATGTCCCGTTTAAATGCTCAGCGCTGCTCTGGTCAGAGCAGCATCTGACTGTATCTCATGTCAAGAATGTATAGCATGATTGATGTGGACATGTGCAGTATTATGTATCATGGCTCATGAGCTGCTTTTTTTGGACAATTGTGCTTAATTATTGAGCGGCTTTGGTGTCAGATCAGTGATTCCCACTGAGTGGTTCATGCAGAGAATTCTGTTCAGAAACCTATCTGTCAAGTAAAGCCAAAGTATCTCCTCTGTCCAATAGCAGGCAGTTAACACTTACCCGCCCTTCCCAATCACACACCTTTGTGAGGGAAGTTTCTCCTTTCAACCACAAGAACAATATTTCAGATGTAAGAATAGAGTGACTGCAGGAAAAACCCTCTCAGCTATTTGGACAAAGGGACAAATTACTCATTTAGTAACAGGCTAAAATCTCACAATGTGGTCACTTGCTTTTGTAATATTCAGTAATAAGTCTATTAAACCTATCAAAATAATAGTTCTAAATCAGCTCAGGCTGTTACAATCTCCTGGTAACGTCACATTTGATTTTGATCCTCTTCGCCATAGTTCATATTCCGTTACAATTATAATCGTTTTCACCTTCCAAATTCAAACTGGTTAATTACATGTTACACACCTGTTTGTACTTGTCCACATTGACACCCTCCAGTTGGCTGAGGCGAACAAGGTTGGTGCCGACCAAAATCCTGAGTTCTTGTCGTTCCTTCTCTCTCTTCTCTCTGTCTCGGCTGTGACCCTGATGCTGCATTCGAACCCATAACTTGTTCATTTCCGCAAAGTTCAGCAGGACAAAGTCGATGGAGTCATTGATATCACCGGTCATCTCCTCTGATCCCCTGTGGAGTAAACACTTAAAGTTTAGAACAAGGAAACATGTCAAAACATTCAAAGACACATTGTAGCTTATATGTTCACAAACACGAGTGTGCAGAATTGTTGAAATGCTGCAAGCCCTGTTTTCCCTTTCTGAGTCATCTGATGGTTTTTCAGAACTTCCTTGTGGCCAAAGGGAAGGCATGGTCTTTGTGTCCATCGCAGTACATGCATACTAATGAATTACGCATTTCTCGGCTGCATTTGAAGAAGCCTTTGAAATGGGACAGCCACAATGCTGTGACGTAACTGGTCTTCACCTGCAGCCCTTGAAGGATGCAGCCCCACAGACACAGCTTAAGTTCCATGCTCTGGGGAAGAACAGTGGATGAAAGATAGAGAGAGAAAAAGCTTAACTTGCTTACTCTGACTGCTCTCCATCATCGGGCAGGATGTTGCGGGTGCACTGCAACAGGTAGTTTCTGAGGAAGAGGCCTCTGAGTGGGTGCTGGACACCACGACACATCTCCACCAGGTCCTTGAGAATGTCCTTACGAGACTGGGGGAAGGAGCGAACGTACACCACACCCACTGTGATTAACAGATAGCTGGGGAGAGAGAGGCAGAGCAAAGAGTCTTAATCTGATAATATGTACATTAATGAAAACAACAAGCAAACATTTGTACGAAGCCTGACCTCTATTTATGACATCTCAACATACACATCCACAGACATCACTTTCACCTATTTATTTGGTTTTATTTTGTTACATCACTGGTTTCAAACCTGATCACTTTGTTTGAATTTAATTTCAGTTAAAACAAGAGAAATGAGGAGAAACTAAATGATTTCCTTATTTGATAGTGACAGATTTCATCATAAATAAAGAACAATTTTCATTACTGCATAGTATCCACATGTTTTTCACAGGTCCAGTTAACAGGCCTCATTCACCAACCATTCTTAAGAAGAAATATCTTCTTAAAACCCGCTTATGCACTTTTTACGAAGATTCTGACATTCACCAATGTTTGCTTATTTGGGATTTGTTCTTAGGTAAGAACAGAATCTATGCACACTCAAGAGTACTCTTATACACATTTAAGTACTGACATGTTTGAGCAAAATAAGTGGTTATTGGGTTTTCTTTAGTTCTACAGGTATATAAGATTATATTATTTAAAGTACAATAATATTTTTGTCATGTTTAATATTTTTTTTTAATTTGCTTTTGTTATTTTACAAAGCATTATGGTCCTTTAAAATAAATGAACACTACATTAACACTTAACCGCTCGTTTGCGGCTCACTTCCTGCAGCAGTACCTCCACTTCAGAACTACTAAAGTTCCTTTTGCGTTTTGATTCCGGCGCTCCGTCTTTAGATTTTCATTTTGGCATTTCCTCAACTTTCCCTTACGGTAACTCTTTGTGACTTCTGTCTGTGTCTGCACACGACCCTTCAGTCTCACGCCCTTTTAAGGGCATTTTCTGGCGTTTACCTATGCTAATTAGGGCCAACTGGCACACGCTTTCAATTTACGAGGAGATTGGCATTTTTCAATCTAAGAACACAGGTACGCACAATTCTGCGGTTTAAGAACACGTTCATGAATCTGATGTAGAGTTTTCTTAAGGACTTTCTTAAGAACAACTTCATAAAGAATTTAAGAAAATACTTAAGAAGATATTGGTGAATGAGGCCCAATGTTTTTTCCACAATTGTGTCACTAGAGGGCGCTCCAATACGGTATAATTATTTCTGCTGAGGGGCACAGTCTGGTCAGATGTAAAATGTCCAGAGGACATTTGATATTTTACATGAGAGAAGTTGATTTAGTTCTACAGAGAAGAAGAAGAAGAGAAGAGAGAAGAAAAGAAGATGACAGGAGATGCTGTGACAACTGTTTTAAGAGTTTATATGCGTAGGAGCTATTTATTAATGTGTTAATTAGTTTCTCTATATCTATTAATTTGTTCTGAGTGTAGACCAATTTAAAAATTTGCTTTATTTAAACTGGATTTTGAGAGAATACGCTCAAACTTCTCACCAGAAACTGGTATGTGTTAATAGCTATATTGGAAAATGGCAAAATATCAGAATTAAGTCAGTAAATGAGTAATTCATGACAAGTTTGAACTCATAACTCATATATTGGAATTCTGCCTTTTGAGCACACACTACTTTACACACAACTAAGCGCCTTTCATTCATAAAACCTCAGACTCCAGCATGTGTTTGTGTTAAGTTGTGGATCTGTGCAGCCAGTTACTGTCACTACTGTTGTGCTTGTTTGTTTGGGAAAATAAATCCAAAACCACAATGGTTTTGTTTTGACAGTTGATTGTGTAAACCACATCCCCCATGCTGCATCAGTGGCCCTTTGATTTTATTCACCCACCACAGATGTTATGCTTTGACCCTTGTCTGTCTGTCTGTTTGTTTGGTGGTTTATTTGTTAGTCAGCAGTATTACACAAAAAGTCGTTAACTAATCTGCACCAAACTTGGTGGAGGGATGTGCCAGGGAACAATCCATTAAGTTTTGGTGCTGATCCGGGTAAAGGGGCAGATCCAGGAATTTTCTTTAACATGTTGAATGTTTGAATGTTGATGTAAAAAAAAAAAAATCAGACAGTTATGTTGTGCTACTGTAGTGTTTGATTTAATTGTTTGAAGCCAATAATACATCCCAAAAATATTTTACTTATTATTATGTTTATGTGAAGTGGGAATTAATGTATATTCTGCATTTAATTTGAATTTAAATGTTTAAATTTAAATGTTGGAATAAAATGTTTCAGGTCCAAGCTTTCCTTTGTTTTCTAGAGGATCCTTTTGTTTGGTGAGAAAAGAGACAGATTAAGTAGCCAAGCTGAACTTTTGAATAGAGTGTGTTTGCTTTTATGATTTAACTGTTTGAGTTTGTTCTTAATGAGTTAGCAGAAGCAGACAGTGCCTGTAGCCCCATCCAGGTAAATAATCACCAGCTGCCACCAAAGTAAATGAATGTGTAAAGTCAGCACTTAACCCTCATAATCACTGTTTCATGTCAGATCCAGAAAAAAGTCACTGTCAGAACACAACCTGCAATGTCTTACATTAAAATGTAGTGAAAGAAAAACACTTCAGATTAAAAAAAGGGTCTGAATATGTGGAGGTTCAGTGAAGGTGATACTCACAGTCTGGGGATGATGTTCCCTGCATACTGGACCAGCTCATAGAGATCTGCCACCTTGCGTCCCTTAGCAAACTCATCAGTCAGATAGACCTCCAGGTAGTGGAGTTCGTCAGAGATGGCCATGTCTGAGAAGACTGTTAGGGACCAGCGCAAACCCACTATGACTTATCCACATGCAATCATCATTGCTTGCAGCATGTCAAGCGCATCATGTCAACTTCAGCTTCAGTCTTCAGTGCAGCATAGGTCACCCAAGTTGTCTGGCAGCACATGGAGCCCAACACACAATCATATAAATACATATGTAAAACATACTGGCTCTCCAAAAATGTCAGGACAGAAATCTGACAAGGACCAAGTAACATTTCTGTAACACACACTCTATTTTCTTTGATCCAGCTGTCGACACAGGCTGCGTAATGTCTCACATTTCACTCAGACTACTGCTCGTAAAACTGGCCTGAAGCGTATTTTTCAAGCTTCCATTTGACATGAACAACAACGATTGCATATTGTGCTCTGAACGCTGCCAATATGCGCCTGCAATACTGTGCCTGAATGCATCCTGCAAAGACACAGACAACCGAAGGTGCTGCTGCTCTGCTAAAATACTGCTCACACTTCCTCCTGTGTAGAAACAGTGATTCAAGAAGAGTCTTTGGCTTCTCATGGCGGTGGGACTGTACGAGAGCTGAATTTACATACTCTGCTCTGACTGGTCAGTTCTGGCGTAACCACCACAGCACATGCATTTCTTTATTGCTTATTGTAAAGTGTGTTTCCCAAGTAGCTTTTCGCTTAAATACAACAATGCCATGCAAGCTGGTAAGTCTGGTTAGCGTCTTGCATCTATGCTGGCAGCAGGTAGTAAAGAACTCTATGCTTCCTGTTCTACAGATATTAAAAGAACACAACTGGTTCTCACCTGGTTGTGGCCAGCATTGTGTCTGAAGACATTATTGTAATGCTGAGCCTTTGTCAGCTTTGCACTGTGGTTCAGCAGAGGCTACAAGCTGCAATGACCAGAGGCCAGATCCATAAATGATGCGTACACATGAAAACCATGTGTACCCCATGTCCTGCACATAAATTGATATTCATAAACACAGAATGTGCAGAACCTAACACATTCCTTTGCCCATGTGAAACGATCCAAGTTAGATACAGGGAAGTGAAAATACAAAATAAGCTGAGATACTTAATTTAACATAAAATAAAATAACCAACTTCACAGAGCTTCATTCATTATCATCATTATAAGTTTTGCCGTATACACAGCAATAGCAATTTTACAATCATAAACAGAAATAATCGTGTTTTGTGGTCAATGTTTCCTTCAGCATCAGTTAATAACATTATCATTTATTGTGAGTCATCCTGTAACTGTTTCATACTATTTCAATATTTACTAATCAGTTTTAGAGCCTGTCTGGAGCCTCATTAAGACTCTCTAGTTCCAATAAATGAAGTTCAGAGTAAACTTTACAATTGGAGTGATTGTACTAAAGTAAACTGATGCATGTTTTAACCTCAGTTTCACAAATCAGTGAAATTGTTCTTCTTCCTCATCTTTCTTCTCTGTCTCTGAAAACTTGTGGCACAAACAGTGTTTTTCAATGCAAGAGTGACTGAGTAAGGGAGTGTCTTAATCCATCTATAGCTAACTACGGAAGTGGAAATGAGGTTCATGCACATTTCTCAATGAGTGATATTTATAACCATGCGTACGCATGTCTTTATAAGACAACCAAAAGAATATGTATGTGTTTTTGTCTTGACTCTACACATTGTTTTATGCATCTGACCCCTGGTGTCATTCACAATGAACAGCTGGCTACTCCAGCCTTTGAGTCCATATATGTGAATGACCCATTATAAAGCTAGGAAGGGAAAGAATCACATAGCCTTGAATAACGGCCACCCTCTGGAGCTGAGCCAAGGTGGGGAAGTCACAGTTAGCGTCTGATGGGTGGGCCAGCACCAGCTGGGCTCAGTCTGAGGTGTAGGCTGGCAGCCATGAGGATTCAGTACATTGCCAACAGGATGGTGAGGACAAGCAGAGGCTTTGGTCTGTCTTACCTGTGTTTTTAACAGAAACTAGTTAGGGTTAGGTTTGGTACGTGGGCTGTTCAGTCTGTAGTGGGAAGAGAGCCTCAGCTGGTACAAGAGCAGTGACTGACACACTGACACAGACTATAGATAGATTCACCTTGACACACAACAATGGCTCTGGAACCAAACATTTGATACGGAGCTTGGATAGGACTTGCACCCTCCTTTCATGGAACCACAATTTTTTCAGAGCAGGCAGTACTTGGGGACTCCACAGTGCTGCTGGTGGATTCACATGGTGCTCACATGGGCAACAACAGAGAAATGTGGAGTGAGAAATTGACTGCCTTGTTTTTTTTTTTTTTTTCTCTAAATATGGCTGACATAAGCTGCTGTTTCTTTAATGCTGTGCCAGGTTGTCCATCATATTGCATTGGGTCTAGTCTGGAATTTAGAATGTCTAGAGACAGACCTGCACAAGCTATTAGACGGGCTAATGTGTTCAGATAACATTTAACGCAAAATTTTACTTTCTATTGTAGCAAACAGTCAGTAGCAAATGAGCAAAAAAATGAGCAAAAAAAGGATACAGAGCTCATAGTAGCTCTTTGGAGAGAGCATGGAGGTCCTCAGCTCACCCAGCATGTTAGAGGCATGCTTCAGGGCATCCATCAGCTTGTTCTTGTCCTACAGACCACACAACACAGCTTTTACCATACTAAATCTTCACAACCAAAACATTCTCAACATTTCAAAAAATAATTAATACCAGTTATGTCACATGTATAACAAGTTACAAACAGGTTTAAATGCAACCCCTCATCTCTGAACCTTCAGCTAAATATTGAACATTTTGAAAATGCTGGTACTAATGATAAATGTGTCACAACATACCATTATAAATGAAGCATTGTGGTGCTACAGATTCACCCTGGCCTACAAATCATGTTGTCCAGATGTAAGAGAACATGTTTTGTTTGTTACAGACCCAACACAGCTTTATCATTTTTATATGTTTTTCAGTGAGCAAAAATTACCATTCCCACTAAAATCGTGGCTTATCTCAACATCTGTCAAAATAATCACAATATAATTTTTTTTTTTTTTCGCATATTGTTCAGCCCTTGTCTGGAACTAGGCTAAAAAAATTAACTAACTGAAGAGCCCGGACCAGAACTGGCTGACCTCCTCAGCTTGTTTTCCATTGGGCTGAATGACAGATTTGCTGGGTAAAGACAATAATGCCTCTTTAACACATGACGAGAAATCCATTTCCCTAAAGAAATCCAATAATTGAAATTCAAACTGTGTGCTGGAAATGCCAGAAGTTTCCCCCCAGCAAAGAGATCCCTAAGGTTGGCTCTTTACAAGAGGTGCAATATGCAAAACAGGGCTGAGAACCAGTGATTTAAACAATTATCACGATCATATTGACGGAAGTCAACCTACCAGACATCTCTTCATCTGGAAAGACTGGACCTTGACAGCCTGTACAGCTTCATCGAGAAGCTTCTCCTGTTCATCCTGGGGAGACTGCTGTGTGGTCGGCTGTAGCAGTTGACGGAAACAAAGTTATTTGGATCTTTGCTTGATGTAAATCAAGAAAATCATCAGCCAGCATTTCACTGAGATGCAATGCTATGTAATGTTTTGAACTGGAAATTGCTGTATTTGCAGTTGACTTTGCCCCACTTGACTGGACCGATTTACAGACAACAAAATCATAGCAGGACTTTATCAACATTATCTAGTGCTTTTCATGGAGGAATAAAAATAGCTTCAGATTAAGCTTGATGCAAACTTGCTGAGTTTAATGCAATGGAGACGTGCAATACTTGTCAAAGGTTTAATGAATTTATTTGTTCATGTTTATAGACGCAAAGTTTCATCTCATCCAAAGCCTTCAACTGCAGGAGCTGTCAGTGACCATGTCCTGTTTAAATAGGACATCGGCTTCCGGAACCCCGGCTGCCCAGAATTAGTCCTCGAACTTCGCAAGTACATCAGTTTCTACCAGTCTGGGAAGAAGCCATAGTAACTCATATGTTTGCGCTTAGCGCAGGGTCTGAGCGACATGTATTCTTACATGTACACGTACGAAAACGTATGAAATGTATGTGTTCTGGCCTTTTAGGAGGTAGGTCATAGCACTGCTGCTAACCAGATACAATTAATACATGTTTATGCTGAAACGAAGTCAGGCCATAACATTTAGCAACAGTAAAATAAATGACACAGCAAAGCGGAAGAGCATGCTAAACAACAGCTAGCGTTAGTTGTTGTCACCTGTTTTGTCCCGGAAATATCAGTGTTGTACTTACAGGTTAATTTGACCCAACACATAATATAAGATATGGTAAGATAAAAGCCGTATAGATAACGTGGATAAAGAAAATGTTTAAGTGAAACAGTTAGCTGCACCGTTGCAGTCAGTGGGTAGCTTGTTAGCTTTGCTAACCGCTGTCAGACGTTAGGCCATAGTACCACTCACACACAAGTCTGATTTTAGGTCAGTTTAACAGTGGAAACTGGTCGTTGCACTGACCGAAGCTGAGCACAGGTTGGTATCCGAAGGAAACATGCGGATGCACAGAATAATAATGTATTTAGAGAAATGCTTACCATGATTATTAGATGTGTATCAGATCAGTCGGAGAGGCTGGCCTGTCATGTGACTCACATTAACGGTGCCTTCACGGTCCGCTCTCAGCCACCACCACATCAGAGGACAGGCGTGGCCAGTGACCCATCAACTGCAGGATGTCGGTTACTTGGACAAAATAAAGTTATTTCACCTTTATTTAACTATTAAATTCAAACAATGGAAAAGACAGAGCTCAGTTCAGCAGCTCCGAGAGTCAAATACCACAACATCAGAACAAACTGCCACAGATAAAAAATGAATGTCCAACAAAAGGTAATAAGAGTTTCTTATGTACGTTTTCACAGTAGGTGTAAAGAGTGTAATAACATTTATGGTGGTGCTGTATATTTTATTTCTATACAAACACGAACGGGAACGTTATAAACTCCTGGTTGTGAAGAGACGTGAATACAACCCTCGTTTTTTTTTTTTTTTTTTTTTTTTAACTCTCGAGAACTTTATTTAACAAGTATACAACAGTGAATAAACATCGAACAAGTGACTAACAGATTTTTTTTTTAAAGTAATAATAATAATGATAATAATAGTAATAATAATAAATGCACATTTTGTTAAGCTTGAAAGAGTTATAAGTTTTAATGGCATTTAATAGTTTGAACATTCAGATAGGCTACTGAAGAAATATATTGTTTGAGGTTTACACTCTACAGCTCTAAAAAGTTATGATTAAAAATTAATCACATAACATTGAGAGCTGAGATTCTTGTCATAATCAATGAAACCAAACACACAACATATTTTTCCAAAGTAAAGTAAAAAGAAGGTAGATATGATCAACAATAAAAGCAGGACAATTTACTCCAGAGTTGTTTTGTATGCAGGCAAAACCAAAATATTTAAATAAACTGACTGCTTGGTTGCTGATAAGGTGGAATTATGTTATTATGGTAGGCCTAATTATTAAAAATTAATTGTCTCATAACAAAATTTCCTCTTATTATTTCCAGTTTTACTTTGTAATTACTTACATTGTGTATCTGTCTGGTTGTTTTACTTCCTGCCCTTCTTGTTTCCTGCGTTTCTGATTGCCTGCCTTGCCCCAATTAGTGTCACCTGTTCCCAATTAACCTTGCATTCCTTGTGTAGTGTCTGTGTTTCCCTCACACTTTGTCAGTGTGTGTGTCCCCTCGTGTTTCCCAGTGGATTTGCTGCCTGTGTGGATCTGTTTTGTTTCTGGTTGTGGTCCTTAGATTTCTCAGTATGTATTTTCCTGTTGCCTGTGTTCCTGGATTCCTGCCTGCCATCTTATCCACCTGGCTGACTGTAAACCTGTTTTATTTATTTAATAATGTCACTCATTCAGCTTTAATCTGTGTAAATCTGGTCCTTTCCTTTGTTCCTGGCTTCTGTCATAACTGTATAGTTTAAGTTTCATCTTTGCAAAGCATTTACCTTTGTTGTTCATAAAAGCTACCTAGGTAGCGTTCGTTATTGTTAGCTAAGCTAATCGTTGACCAATAGTAAAGTTAATGTTAAATTAATGACATCACTTTAGCAAATTAACACAACTAATGTCTAAATTAAATGTGTTTTTTGACTGGTCACTTTGGCTCTGTAATCAGCTGTCTTTAGCACCACTATGCATTTTCTTTTATCAGCCAACAAGACGGTGATGATCCCGTGTCTTTGTCGTGATGCCAGCGCCTTCCTTTCTTGGATACTAAGGTTGGAAAGTGGTGCTTTTGCACTGGCGAGGGCAGCTGATACTTTCAACCTGAGTTGTCCCACCTCTGTATCTGCCACATTATTGTTCCTGATGGCTGACAGACATCCATTTCCAGTTAGGTGAGCCCTCTGTTGGATGAAGTTCTTCATCCTCTTCTCATGAATGCCCAGCTGTGCACTTTAAGCCCAGTAATACTCTGAGGCAGGAGCTTGTCCACTCGCAGGACAAAACATCCAGACATAAGCAAAGAAATGTAGTGTACACAGTTCAATGTAGGAAAGCACAGACCTGTACACTGGGGAAACCAAACAACCACTTCACAAACGCATGACACAACACAGGAGAGCCAACTCAGGACTCAGCTGTCCACCTACATCATAAGGAATAGGGGCACTCATTTTAGGACAGTAATGTACGCACCAATGGTTTGAGAGAGTAAAAGAAGTCATCTATGTTAAACAGGAGCGACCATCACTAAATAGAGGGCATGGTCTACCACACCACTTATCAGCCACTCACAATGCAGTCCTGAGATACCTCTCAAGGCATCTTAACACCCAATCACACTGTGACTCATGTGATCCTAATGACTCGCATGATGACCGGATGGGTCAGCGGCTCCCATGTGACCTCAACGACTCTCGAGGTGTTAACACCCCCTTAACAAGTGAAACGCCTGGAGCAGTCAGTTAGAACAGATTAGATGTGAAATGTCTTTAAGAGCCTCAAGCAAGTCCAATTGCCTTCGTATAGCACCTAGATATGACGAGATGTGATAGTATTTGCAGCAGCAGTGGTATGGGCACTGATTGAAAGCACAATTGCTGAAGCAGAGGAAGACAGGACCACACTGGAGAGGTGAAACTCCCAACTCTGCTAGGAGTAGTTGCTCCTGCAACCACCAGGAAGAGGATGGGAAAAGGATGCCTGCTATAGTCAGGTGGCCCCGTAGCGTCCATGACATACAGTGGGTGAAAACAATTGTATTTTTTATGAATATAATTTTGTATAAGTTGTTAATTGAAATATAGTAAATTTATGTTAAATTTAACTCAGTAGTTGCAAACATTTCTCACATCTTGTGCCCACCAAGGGTAAATATCAAGCTTTGAAAGAGCTGAAGAACAAAGAAAATCTCCAGACCAAGAAAACAAACTTTCGCTCTCTGCTGGCCAACACCAGTCTTTGTCTAAATGAAACAGAGAAAAGCAAAACTAGTCACAGCAAACCAATTTAACTGAAATATAGACTGTTTCTGTTAGAATTTCTATCCTCTTCCTGTTGATCGCAACAGAGACTGAACTCATCAATTTATAGCTTCTGCTATTGACAGAAATAAAAGTATAACGTTCATGAAACCACCTCCCTCACTGCAGGCCTGTGTCCACGTGGTGGCAGTAAGCCCGTTTCCCAACAGTCAATAATCATTCACGAAGAAGACTGTTGCGGAAGTGTAACGGAAAACATGGCGGCGCCGTGGTGTGGACATACTTAGGGCAAATTCAGTTCAGTCACAGAAACTTACTTGGTGTCAGTAATGATTATTTAGACACATGGTATTTTGAAGTAAAGTAACAGTCGGTGTCAGTATGTGGACGACCAGAAGAGCAGCAGGAGCTGCTCTGAAAATCCTCCACCACCTCCACCAATGCTGTAAACCCACAGCGCTGAGGAGGGGGACTGACGGGCTCTGCAGGTTTATGTCATCATCAGGACCCCCGTGGAGGCTCCTGTTCTTCGGCACGGATAACTTTGCTGTGGAGTCTCTGAAACTCCTCACATCCAGCAGGTTTGGAACTGACACAAAACGCTACTGCACACCTTCATGTGATGACAATATTATACACACACAACACTGCAGTATATAACGGTATTGTTACCATAATCATATGTTGTGTTGCACACTTTATTAGGACACAAACACACCCACATAAAGCTCTCTGAAATCAAATTGTCAAGTCACATTTTATTTAAATAGAGCCAAATCATAACAGAAGTTATCTCAGGGCGCTTTTCACATAGAGCAGGTCTGAACCACACAGTATAATATTATGTACAAATATCCAACAATTCACACCATGAGCAAACAGACAGCAGACTTGCAAGACAATGGCAAGAAAAAAAAATTCCTTTAAAGGGGAAGAAACCAAGAGAAGAACCAGGTTTGGGCGGCCATCGGCCTCCACCAAGGTTGACAGAGAAAAAGAAAGGACATAGCACAATGCTGGTTCCATATAGATGTGTAAGGTAATAAAAATTGTGGTGGTAATAATAATGATAATAAGCAACAATAAGAACAACAATAACTTGCAATCACCGATCCAGACTCTGCAGCTTGAGGGGAGAAACAATTCCTGCAGTAGAAACTGGAGAGGAGGAGCTGATTCTGTATCTAACCTCTTCTATTTTACTGCAGAAGAATTCTTGAAAATCATGAGCCATAAAGGGTGAGCAGCTAAGGGACAGCTGTGTTTGAGTAAGTTTAGCTACAGTGCCAAAAAGAAATCCTGGATTGTGTTTATTGTTACTGATTAAGTTAGAGAAATATGCTTCTCTAACAGCGGAGGGAGCATGTTTGTATTTACCTTTGTATTTCATTACACACTCGTGCCACTGGAAGTAGAGAGCTTCTGATTTTATTCAGAGCAACTTCCTTCAGTAAACCACCTTCTCCCCAAGATCTGTACATTGATTTGGATGCAAAAAATTAGTGAAGTTCCCCTTTTAAAAAAATTGTAAAAAAAATTTGTATATGACCAAAATGTTGCATAAATAAATGATTACTTTTTATCTATATTATATTATTGAGTCTGGTCACCTCATAATACTCAATAGTAATTTTTTAGAACCATGTGGCCTCTGTATTTACTGACTACAGAGGCCAAATGGGACACTGAATAGATTGTAAACACTGAATATTATATTTTTATTACAACAAACTTCCATTCAAATTGAAACCTTTTACTGATTTGTAAGGATCATGTCATTGTCTTGAACTTGTTCTTTGGTCAAATATTTCCGGTTTTTAATCCTAATTTTTCCAATTCCAGAGTATTTAATTTTGCCAAAACTCTTGCCCACCTGCTTGTGTAAAGACAACATTTAAGATTTTTTTGGTTTCTTTTGTTATCAGTCCCATTTCCGTCAGGGGCATCATTACCCTAATATTTGGCATTAAACCGTAATCTTTGTTAAATGTGAGTTTAAATTGCCATGTCCCAGTCTTTATTTCAATTCTAAATAAACTGATGACAATGGAATTTATTGGGCGTCTTCATCTTGCAGCTCATGCTTCATCATGTTGGATAAGGGAAGTGAGAGCACGATAACTAACCTCGATCTTGTGTTTGTAGGAGCTCCAGTGAAGACATCGTGGAGTCCCTTGAAGTTGTTACTCTCTCTGGCAATGTCCCAGTGAAGACGTTTGCTGAACAGAACCACCTTCCAGTCCACAGATGGCCCCCTGACATTGTGGATGGACAGTTTGATGTCGGGGTGGTGGTGTCTTTTGGCTGTTTACTCCATGAGAGACTCATCAACAAGTTTCCATAGTGAGTATTGTTTGTCTGTCAATGATGTGTTTGGACTGTTTCTGTGATCTGGTCTCGTTGCAAAGACCACATGATCCGGAACAGGTCACTGTAATCATATCTTCCTCTGTACTAAACCTAAAACCAGTCACTGACCAGTCTGACACAAATTTCATCTCATAGAAAAATACAACAATGGTTTAATTTTGGTATTCCTGGCCATCGTTACTATCCGTTATGACAACATTGTACTCAACTAAAATAATGGCTGTGATCTCAAACTGTGTCTACATGAAGCGGATCGATGTCCACATTAGCATTTATTTTCTAGATGTTTTTGTAGAGATCTCTCTCCACACTAAAACGCGTGAACAAAATTTAAAAGGCAAAGTCTCTTCTTCACTGTTGTGGTAATAATTGAGATAAACAGCACCTCTGACCAGATCATTATTTCATTGTTGGACATTGTCAAAATTAACATTAATACAGGTTAATGACAGCAGCTGTGCTGTATCATTGCAGAAAATCATCTTAATTTGTGGGCTAGTGGAGAGAGGACAGTTGCCTCGAATGATGCCTTATTTGGTAACATTATAATCCAGAGACCCTACCATCCGAATGTCGCAGCAGAAATCGCGACTCATCAGACCAGGCAATGTTTTTCCAATTTTCTAATGTCAAATTTTGGTGAGCCCGTCCGAATTGCAGCCTCAGTTTCCTTTTCTTAGCTGACAGGAGTGGCACCCGGTGTGGTCCTCTGCTGCTGTAGCCCATCTGCTTCAACGTTCGACGTGTTGTGCGTTCAGAGATGCTCTTCTGCATACCTTGGTTGTAACGAGTGGTAATTTGAGTTACTGTTGCCTTTCTATCAGCTCGAGCCAGTCTGGCCATTCTCCTCTGACCTCTGGCATCAACAAGGCATTTTTACCCAGAGGACTGCCCCTCACTGGATATTTCCTCTTTTTTGGGCCATTCTCTGTAAAACCCTAGAGATGGTTTTACGTGAAAATCCCAGTATATCAGCAGTTTCTGAAATACTCAGAGCAGCCCGTCTGCCACCAACAACCAAGCCATGTTAAAATTCACTTAAATCACCTTTCTTCCCATTCTGATGCTGCCATGTGATTGTTCTAATAGATAATTGCTTTAACGAGCAGTTGAACAGGTGTACCTAATAAAGTGGCCGGTGAGTGTATATACATTATCCCCGGAACAACAACAACATGGTGTTTGCCTGGACCTCTGGGGACACTACATATACTAGTCTACACAGAAAGCATTAAATTGTAAACTGTATGTGTGTATGTTGTCGTGGAAATCTCTAAGATCACCAGAGAATGTATCAATAAAAATATGACAGTAAAAAGTCAGACTACTTCTTACCTTTTTAAAAGGAGCTATTTCTAAGTTTTGCTATTGCTACATAGCTAACATTAGCATTAACAGCTGTTTACTTACCAGTCTAGAAGAAAAGTTGTGAGTTCAGCATCAAACTTCATTCTTTTACTCACCAAGAGCTGTCTCCAGACGTGGAAAGCAACAGCAGTGTTAACTGTTGTCTCTATCACTTCCTTTCTTCTACTAAAACTAGCATTTTAATCAGGTAGCCCTAGCTCATCTCGTCATTTTCCGTTAGCGACTCTCTGTAGCCTCCAGTCTGCCCCTGAAGACGTACTATAACCTCTTTTCTTGTAAACACAACGATGGCTTAAGCGCTTGTGAAGCGACAATCACCAAAAACCTGCTCCTGGCAAGAAATCACGTTTGGCAGCAGAGAACACTTAGGATAGTTATAAATAATAGCAAATAGTTATAAATTAATTACTAAGTTTAAAAATGCTTTAAACAAGGAGATGTTTTAATGTCTGTCACACTGTCCATGTGCTCTTTCTTTGCAGCGGTATTTTGAATGTTCACCCCAGCCTGCTGCCGAGGTGGCGAGGTCCAGCACCCATCTTCCACACTGTTCTGCATGGTGACACTGTGACAGGAGTCACCATCATCCAGATCCGCCCTCACAGGTAAACAGAGGGAAAACCTCTTAGTGTCTGTTTTTCCTTACTGCAAACAAACTGATGAAAAATGTCTTCACATCCCAGGTTTGATGTGGGCCCTATTCTCAACCAGGAGCTCCATCAGGTCCCTGATAACTGTACTGCTGATGAGCTTGGAGCTGTCCTAGCAACTAAGGGAGGACATCTGGTGAGTTGTTGGAACATGTGGATTTGAAGATGATTACCTCATCCTCTAACAGGATGGTAACGTAGCTGCTGTATTTGTATTCTTGATTGCAGCTGATTGATACGTTAAGGACACTGTCTGAAAGATTGCCGCATAAAAGGGAGCAAGGAGAGACCGGTGCGATATTTGGTACGTCGGTCTGAACTACATAAACACAGTTATACAAACATAAATTAAGAGAAATCCTTCACGCTTACATCTTCATTTCCTCCAACAGCCCCAAAAATCAATACCTCCATGAGTTGGGTGGTGTGGGAGGAGCAAACCTGTGACCAAATTGATCGTCTATATCGTGCCATCGCATGCCGGGTAATGAGGACTGATCTGGAGCAATATTCACTACATACCTACCTACCTATCTACCTACCTACTTACTATCTACATTTCTAAATGTGTTCTTCACGTTCCTGTGTACTGATGAATATTCTACTTGATATTCACAGACACAGACTGGTCACCTGTTACAAACTAATCTCTGTGGAAACAGATCGTAGGTTGTTTTATAAAACATGATGTCCCCTCTCTTATCTCTGCCATCAGATACCTTTGAGGACGACATGGATGGGCAAGACAGTAAAACTTCTGGATTTTGTAGGAAAATGTCACATTTCATTATCAGGTAAGTTTATTAAAATCAGATCTATTTAATCCATGAATATATTTACAGTAGGTGGTACGGTGGTGTAGTGGTCAGCATTGTTGCCTCACAGCAAGATGTTTCTGGATTTGAATCTGCCGGCCAGCCGGGGCCTTTTTGTGAGGAGCTTGCTGGTTATCCCTGTGCGTGCGTGCGTTCCTGCGGGTACTCCGGCGTCCTCCCACAATCCAGGGCAGTTTTTCCTTGAGTAGCAGATGTATTTATTCTCCCAGGATCAGGTTACTGACTTGTTGAGCATTTCAAACACTTACATTCTCCTGTTTGTTGATCTAAAAGCCAAACTTCACTTCCAAAAGTAGACTGTGTTCATAACAACTTTAGGAGAGCAATCAGCTTGAGATCCATTGAGCACTGCAGTAAGAAACATCCAATAAGGAAGCCAATTTTGAGGAATGTATTTGACACGCCAGTCTGTGGGAAAGTTGAAACATACCTGGCACAACAAATCATATGGGGTTATTAAATGGTCTAGAGGACTGTGTCTGTATGTGTATTTGCTGTTGCCCTGTGCTATACCAGTAATGTGCCATATATATATATATATTATATATGTGTGTGTGTGTCACTCACATGTTCTTTGCAGATGAAACGAGGAAACCTGTCCCTGGCTCGGTGACCTATCAGAAGGAGTCCAATACTCTGGCTGTCTGCTGTAAGGTCTGTCCAACTCAGTTTAATGACAACATACTTCAACTTCAACTCTAAAAACAACTGTAAAAAACAAATAACTTTGCCATTGTGTCTGGAATCTCCTGCATTCGCTGTCCACTTCTTGCTTTCTTAGTACTGCTGCCATGTCTTGTAACAGGTGAAGCCTCCTTGGCACAGAAAAAGCAGCAAGCAAGGTGCCCATATGGTGATAGCAACACCTAGTGTTCACAACAGGAATTGTTGGAGAGTCTGAGAGTCTTCACACATAAATGGAACTGTGTTTTAATTTAGTCAGGATAAATAACATTTTCATTTTAAAATAACTTGTGGGCCATATTAAAGTGTCGAGCAGCAGTTTGGGCACCCTTATATTAAAGGGAAAATGTTACTTCTTAACCCAGTTGGCGATTTTGTCTCTTTGACTCTGTGTCATGATTCTGTTTAAGAACACAGTGCCGGAGGTTGCCATTATTACTATTAAATTACTGCGTGGTTATGAAACATTATTTGATCAAAGGATACAAAAAACATAAAGTTAATATCTAACCATAGTTCTTGAACTGTAAACAATTTGATCATTTGATGATGTCTAGAATATCCTGATGTTTAATTACATTTTGAAAAAGTATGCACAGTAATCTTGCTGGCACTGTCCTTTTAATATTTACTTTTTATTTCACATGAAATATGTTATGAAATCATGTTCAATCATTATGAATAGTTTGAAAGGAGAAAAGAAGATTTTATCTTTACTTCCAAGACATACATGTAACATATGTATAGTTTCCATTGTCTGCTTGCTTGACTCATTAAATTCACTTCATCATACTCACTACTTAATTATAAAGCACTGAGTATGCCTACAATAAAGGCATAAATTATCCCAAAATATAATAAAATAAAATCATCATAATATACATTTCCACTGTATTAATTTTATTAGCACAACAAGTCATTTTTACTAAAAATTAAAAAAAATCAAAGTAGATTGCAGTTGTTGAGCTCAAACAACTAAAACAGAATTTGTATTAACAAGAGAAAGTGTTCTCAGCAGAGTAGTGAGTATTGACATGGCTCTGTTGATGTACTGATGGAATCAGTGCTGTGGGAATATAAATTATACAAAACCTTTGAAGACAACAGGTAAACATGGAGATCATGCAGAGATTGTATGAACAGTAAGCAGCAAATTAAAACGGGAGAAAATATAAAAATGGGGATGCTTAAGAAAATAAAAGAATAAATCCCTGATCTCTTTAAAAGCCTGTTTCAAATAAAGGTACTGTATGTCAACTTGATATTTTGTGTTGATCTTTGTTCCCTGTTCCAGGATGGCTGGGTGGGATTCAAGGCAGTGCTTCTGAAAAAAAGACTGTCAGCACTTGACTTCTATAATGGCTACCTGCATCAGACAGTGAAGAAGACACCCCATGAGACAGCTGGAGGACTGTTTGTCAGTAGACAAGGAGGAACTGAAGCACATCAGAAGAGAGAAAAATTAGTGTTGTGATGTTTCAACAATAATTCTATTCCCTGATGTGAACACTGCAGACATGACATCACCCAATGGAAATGACTTTAGTTAAGTTGTTACTCTTACTACTTACTGTCTGTTTTAGGACATCTGCATCTACAGTACACTTACTATATTAATGTATTTATACTGTATACTATAAATGCTGTTGGCTGGCATGCCAGGAACAGTCATTAAAGCTTTATCTTTCCCTATTTACCCAAAAGGACTTTTCTCTATAACTTGTGAGATTTGATTATTAAGTGAGATTTGATTAACCAGTCTTCTTGAATGTAATGTCATAGGAATGTTTGATTTTACTCTTTGTCGTAAGAGTGTGTCGACCCATGGGAACATACTGCATAACAAGCTAGCTGGAGTGGAGAAAATGCACATGAGGGAGCCTGCGGAAACATGGCATATGTTTTTTGGCGTATGGGCAAACTGAGCAGTTTTCATGGGAATGAATGGGGCGCCATCTTTAAAATAAGTATCCAGTTCTCCTTAATACATCTATGATAACTTCTGGATTTAGCTCAAAGAACTGCTTAACACATCCTAGCATGGCTGCTGACTTGTAGTCTGGCTTTAAGTCTGTTTGAACTGACTGCAGAAGCTGAACTCCAGAATGCATTTTTACACAGAATAAAAACTGTAGATCTCGTCCCCAATCTCCAACAGTGAAGTTATGTTACAAAGGAATCACCACTATGGAGAGGAGGAATGATTAGTGACCAGTTAACTTCTTCAACATGTGTACAGTCTTAAAAAAAATAATAATTAAATGTTCGAACAGGTTGTTCACTGCAGGGATTGAACAAAGTGGGGCAGGTTTAATGAACTGATATGGATGTTCTATTAGTTGACTTGTATGGCACAATGTCCCTCTTAAGAGGAGGCCAAAAGTATTGATATAAAACGTGATGATATGTTTTCCTAATTCCCAAATGCCCAGTCTGCTCATGAGAACATTCAATGCCTCATTGTGATACCCAGTTGGGACGACTATTTGGATCAGCAAAGAGAGCTGCTGTTTTAATATTTGTATGACCTGTGTGATTTACTTTTCTCTTCAGTACAGGACATTCTGCTTTCTAGTGTTGCTGGGTCACCAATAGCTTTAGCAGTAGCTTTATCATCTAAAGCACAATGGTCGCCAAATTTCCCTTTATGTGATAACACATACTCATCTGCCAAACCATGAGTGACAACCTCAGATGGATGAGAATTTTTAACTTGCTCCAGCACCATCAGATCACATAGACCTGAAGGCATGTAAAGCAGAGCATCACCTGCTGAAACGTTCAGTCATCCAGGAACAAAATGATGCCAACAGGCCTCTGATACCAACTTTCACAACTGTGTCTTTAACAGTAGAATATTTTTGGCTGGCAACTGACAGACTGCAACTTCGCTACAGTCAGCCTCAGGCCAACTCTTTTGAATTGGTGACATGTTCAAGAAGGGAGGAAAATGGTGTCTGGTTTTCATTCAGTTTTGGTACCAGATGAAAGTTACTAACCACATCAAACATCTGTAAACCACGTGAAACTAATTCTACAGACTCACCTCAATACTCATCAGCATGTATCAGCATTAGCTGACATCCTAAGAGGTACAAGTTTTTGCCCCAAACCGGTCGTCCCTGACTCATTTTAGAATCAGGCAGAAATTTTTTCAGACCAGTTGTGCTTTCACATATAGTTTTGGATACCCTGTGTGTGTGTGTGTGTGTGTGTGTGTGTGTGTGTGTGTGTGTATATATAAAGTCCGGTTAGGTTTAATGCTGCATTGTTATGTATGTATGTATATATATATATATATATATGTCTTATTTTCCTATTTCTTTCTCTAAAATTCAATAGATGTAAAGTCATATTCTATTTTGTTAAAATTTGTACATATATGATGTATAATTTTGAGATATTTCCAAATCAACATTGGTATCAACCTAAAGAAATCCAGTTGGACTTTAAAGGTATTATTTTCCTCACCTTACATTTTGTGTTTTTTGGTCAAAACATTTATTATTAAAGTTATCTCGTTGCTCTGAAGGTATTAGATTTTATATTGTATTTATCAAATTGGTACATCTTTTGTTATTGTTTTGTTTTTTTCTTGTTAAATTGCGTCCATGCATAATAAGGATTAAAACAAAAACCACTTTAAGAGCTTGTAGGAAATTAGGAAATGATTGTCCATGCTAGGGTTCCTTTCTATGGACCATACCACGTTATACTTTAACCAAGGGAACTGTCACTTGCACTTTCACTACCGTCTCAAAGAGCACGAAATACGAATGGCCGCTAATGAAGACAAGATGTTCCATTTAAAAATTGCAATTCCACATACAGCCATTTAAATTTATACTGAAGCAAATATCACATATAATGTTAGCTCTTACCGCCCCCCCCCTTAGTCCCACCCCTCTTGCAGCTGTCGAGTGGTAACGGTTCAGCAGAAGAGACTGCCATTTTACACAGGGACAGCTAGCTAAACCTACAAAGTGATTGACCACAACTTATTGGCCTATAGTAGTAAACTTGTTTTTCCAGAAGTACAGCGTGAACAGCGGTAAACTGTAACCAATCATCCAACACGGCTTTTTGTTTTCAAGCACGAGTCAAATAAACAGTGGCGTAAAAAACACGGGTAAGTTGGTCAATCCCAAGTTATCAAACGCTATTCTAGCAAGCTAACGTTACCATAACATACCCACGGTGTTTTAGCTTTCTAGGCACTTGTTGGCTTGATCATTTAGCTAGTGCTACTGGTTGTGATATAGAAGATACTTTTATGGTCTGAATGGTGGTTTGATAATGTGACAGTAATATGTTGACGAAATTACGTCATGACAGAGTTGGTTTGGTTTGCATAAATGAGCTATGGTGTGTGTTTCGGGTGCTGTTAACCAATAACAGTCCCACTATGGGGTTTTGCTTAAAAGCTTTTGAAAGGTTTATAGTTAACGTATATATGTGTATGAAAGAGGATGGTCTGGGCGTGATGTCACCTAACGCGGAAGTCGCCACTGTCACTCCTCCCACAGTCAAGACCTGTCATGGATTCACATGCAGAACCATTGCTAAAATGTTCAAAGACTGTTCTGTAACTGACCACACTAAGTGATGCAAAAGACTAAACGGTAGAAGTCATTACACACTGCTCAAGTCTAAAGAGAAGTAGGCCTATAGTTAGGTGCTATTTGTACAGGATCTGTGTATGAAATGTTAACCAAGCACACATTAAAAATAATTAATGTGTGTTTTAAAAAGAAGTATTTAAACAAACCTTACAACCAGGATGCTATCTGTATGTGGCGGACAAATCCCACTATGAAATATGACCATATGGCCATACAGTAAGGACTCAACATTAAAACTTTGTCTACATTGAGTTGTATACATTTTAAAATGCTGTTTTTGTGCTATCGTTTTAGCAGAGTAAAAATAAATAACAACAAATTAGAACAACAAATAAGAACATCATAAAAATGGCCAAACCTGCCCTCTTTTGTTGGGAAACAACAAAACTGTCAACATCTGGTATGGAGTGGAACAGACAACCTAGCTGACCAAGTCTTTATTTTATGATTGCAACATTGACTGATAAAATCAGTGTAAATTAATGACAGCTGTGCTGTATAATAAGCTATTAATGTTGTAAAAAATCATGATCACAGAACTGGGTACACAACAGAAAGTTGTCTTCTTAACTTTGCTGCCACACAGACTTCGTCTCTGACTATAGGCTACAGACTCAGCTGGTTATTCTGCTGAGTGCCAGCCCATTGTTACACCTCTGTTCAGCCTCCTGCTCTCTGTGCTCACATGTGCTGTTTAATACAGCTAAATTTATGTCATGTCATGTCATTCAAAAAGCTGTTCTTGAAAGGTGGTTAAGATTAGGATTGGGTTTAGAGATAATTGCTATAAATCATATTGTTGTCAATACCATTTTATGCCACTGATATAATGATAATAGCATAATAATGCAAGTACACCCTTTCAGATAGAGCTTGTTGATTCCATGCAATGTCTGACCAGTCACTTAAACACCAAGAAGAAACACCACAGATAATCTGTGTACCAAGTCAGTAGCACTAACCTGAGTCGTTTTTCAATGCATAGTTGTGTAAATAGGAAACCGTGTGTGCTGTTATTTTACAGGGACTGCTACTGGTAGTATGGCTCTTACTATACCTTATAACCACCAGGGCTGTCAACAAATATTCTAAATTTGAATATAATCGAATTGTAAAAAAACATTCAACATTTGATTGTGAATATTAATATCTAATTGTGGAGAAAAAAAGCAGCAGGACCATGGCTGTCTGCCTCATGATTTTTGGCATGGGCCTTGGCTACTGGACTGAATGCAGTTCATGATGGACAAGAGTCACACAATGTCACTTTCCTTGATAGAAAGTGAAATGTAGCTCAACCTGAAAAGAATTGGTAAAGAGAGCAGAGAGTTCACAACCAACTGCACTGCAGAGAGAGTGAGTTGCAAATACTTAGGATTTTGTTCAGTACACAGCAAAATTGTGGAACCATGAGATAATATTGCATCATGTTAGATTAGATATTTAAATGGTTTGAACCTTTGTTGTTTCTTTAAAAGGAAGGATTGAATGCCCCTTTCGCCTTTTTTTTGACAGTGCTGCTAACCACTGCTACACCTATGTTTCAGCTTATGTTCAGTAGACTGTTGATGCTTGTACCCTCTTCCATCTTTATGAAATCTCACAAGGCAGTTCCTCACCATGTGGAACCATGTTGCATTAGAGAAAACCCAGGCCAAAACTGAGAAAGCCTTGGTGTTCGCAGGTTATTTTATAAACTTGTTTGTGCAATTAGCTTTAACTTGAAATCGGATGTGTATTCACTTTTGTTGCATTTAGGTTGTACATAGGAGCCCTTTATTTCAATATAGTCTCAGTTTTGTTGTATACTGTATTTTGGTGAAGTCACATTCTTGGATGTGGACGGTTAACTTGGTTAAATGACACGATGAATGTAATGTTAATCAGTGAAATCCACTGACACTTGATTTTGTGTAATTAATTCATGGAGAGGTCTGTGCAAAGTAATCTGATATAAACACACTCTTCTTCCTCCTGAGAAAAACATTACTCTGTGCACTGTGACAGAAATGTTACAGATGTGCTCCAGGTCTGAAGTTACAATGTTGAATATCAAAATAAACTGATGCAGAAACTGCATTGCCTGTCCAGGCTCTTAAATTAAGCCTGATGTTAGTGGAGGCACAATTTATGTTGGGACACCCTCGCTGTAATGCATTGCTTCAAACCCTGAACAGGAGAGTAGGTACAATTATTAGGATACATAGGTACAAATTACTGCACACCTGATATACTAAGAAAACTGTTTCAGGTCTGCAGCATAATCGGACATGTTGACATGTTTAGTATCGCATCATTTTTGCTCAAGACATGACTTGGTTAAGGGACATCATCATGATCTGACTTTGCTGCTCCCAAACAGACCAATAATATGTTGGGTCAGTACAGTTGACTGCTGCTTTAAGCCTGCAGTTGAAACATAGATGGTTACTGCTGGGCCCCCCTCAGTGTGGATAAAGTGTGCTCTGCTAGGCCAATGGGGAAAACCCTTAAGTGCCAACTGGAAACCCACTGAACTGTACCACTGAGAGCATGTCACATGTTCTGGGTTATTTCATGAAATAACCTAGTCCACCCCGGGTGGGCTAGAACCTGATGTTGCAGTTATGTGGCATGTGACTGACAGTGACTGGTTTGTTGAGGAAACTAGCAGGGGATGATGAAAAGCTTCATGTAGAATGATGAGAAGATAAGAGGAGATAAGAGGATATGTGTTAAGTGTTAAGAGTGAGGACAAAACAAATCAGTTTTTGTGGCAGTGACCAGAGAGCTGACCATTGCTTTACGTTGCACCTCTGTTAACAAATGTTCCTAAAATTAAATTTGGGCATGTTTTGTGTGTTTTGTCAGATGTTGTTTATGCTTTTTAAAGTATTTTTGGGGGGGGGGCTTTTTATGCCTTTATTTGATAGTACAGTAGAGAGAGACAGAAAATGGGGAGGCAGAGAGAGGGGGGAACGACATGCAGTAAAGGGCCGTCCGATGCGGGATTCGAACCGGGGCCGACTGCAGCGAGGACTGTAGCCTCTACATATGGGGCGCCTGCTCAACCTACTGCGCCACTTGATGCCCCTTGTTTATGCTTTTAAATGACATCAAACATGACATGTCTATCACAGTGGATATGAAGGTCAGACTGACCGTAGTTATTACAGCTGTAATAAATGTCAGAGATATTAAAATACAGAATCTTAGTAACATGAACATGCACAAACCATTCCAACATATAAAATTACACTATTAATATCACAGATAGGTTTTCTGATACTTCAGGTAGATTTTGTTCAATCTTTGAGGGAAACGGTCTCTGAGTCTCTGTTTTTATAGAGCTGGGGAACTCTTTTGAAGCCGGACTCTCAATGGAAGAGAGATCATCCAAAAAAATGTCAATGTGTGCTATATAAAGTATCTATCTATCTATCTATCTATCTATCTATCTATCTATCTATCTATCTATCTATCTATCTATCTATCTATCTATCTATCTATCTATCTGTCTGTCTGTCTGTCTGTCTATCTGTCTGTCTATCTGTCTATCTGTGTAACCACCTACCTACCTATCTGTATGATGTTGTCCTAACTCTTTCACTCAGTCTCATCCTGAGGATCACTCTAAATGCTCATGGAGAGTGGGAGAGGTGAAAAGTTCAGAGGTCTGGTTTAGCGGGAGCAGGGAGAAGCAAGCTGTATGTGCTGTACCTTTCCAGATGTTACTTTTTGCTGCCAAAATAACTTAATTTCCCCATGTTTATCAAACTTTCACCTTATTAAATCGTCCACTCTTGATTTGACAACACATGCACACGATGGGTTTATAATTAAGAACTTCACCTCCCATGCAGTGGTGAAACCCTTTGGAATCACCTGGTTTAGTCATTGGTCATAAGATGTGATCCAAGTCTAAGTTACAAGTACAGACAATCACAATGTGCTTAAGTGAATAACACACAATTATGAATACACCTATTAAACACTCTCAGTGCTGGTGGAACTAGTCAAACTTAACTAGTCGATTCTTCTTGAATCTTGTTCTTGTACAGTTGCATGGACGTCATGCTCCATGCACCGTCATTTGCACATTGTAGACTCATGAACATGAACTCATGAACTCTTGCTATATTGTGCTTTTGGAGTCACCTTAGCTAAGCATCATCATCATCTCCATTTGTAGACAGTTTGTCTGACTGGACTGATGAAGATCTAAAGTCTTTCAGCTTTATGCAAATCAGTTAATTAAAGGACTTCTCAGATGTTTCTTGCAGATGTTTCTTGTGAATAGCAATAGTTTGTGTGTGTGTTCTTTGTGAGAGTAGCTCTAACCCACACCTCTGATCTTGTTTCATAAACTCCAGGTCTGATAACTCCTGACTCCAGTTAGCTTTTGTTGATGTCATTAGACAAGGCGTTCATACACTTTTATCCAACCTCCACTGTGAATGTTTAAATGAGGTATTCATGGATGAGAACAATATAATGATTTGTGTGTTAGTTAAAATAGATTGTGTTTGTTCATTTTTGTAACTTAGATGAATATCGGTTCAAATTTTAGGACAAATTTATACGTAAATCCAGATAATACGTTTTCTTTCTACTTTATATGTACCTGCCCATAGCTGGATGTGACCACCTGTAGTTAACTAAGCCATTGATGAGTGGCTTTGTGACAGGGTTTATCAAGGATCATTTAAGATAGCTTAAAGGGAGTAAGACTAATAGGATGTTTCTGTGTTGGGGGGCTAGTCTGTGGTCAATCTGTGCTGGAATAGTGTGTGTCACTACACAACACTGCATGGTAGAATAAGTTGCTTATTTCATGATGTGGTTTGCAGAAAACGCATTGAGAACATTCCTCCCTGCAATATTTAAAACCTTACCTGTACTGTAGAATATGTCCATATGTTGTGTAGACCTGTTTATTGAAGAATATCACTGCTAACAAAACTCTGCAAACTCTGTGATTCTAACTCTGTAACTCTACATTTCCTATAACTTCTCCACAATTCAAGCCCACTAGTTTGCCAGTGGAAAGCCTTTAATGTGAAGCCACAACAGCAGGAAATGTTGTCTGTGTCAGAAGTAACTTTTAACAGTTCTGAGTTTTAAAAGTGATCCATAAACAGTAAAACAAGGCTTATATCTGAAAGTACAAACAACAACGTTGTAGTGAAGTGAAACTAAACCACAGACTTTGTTTGAAGCTACTGAAGAAGTGAGAGCTGAACACAGATAGACTTCAAACAGAGCTTTCTCTGTAGTCTCCAGCACAGACACACAAGTGTTGTGCAGCACAAGAGAGTTGATGGAAGGGGAGACCATCATGGCTCCTGCTACCAAGCAGGACCACAGCAAAGCATGGCTATTCCCTGCTGTGAGACAGTAGTAGAAACACATATGATCCTGGCTTTGCTAAAGAGGACCAACCTAGGCCCATGGAAAACCTCTGTCACTTGAACTTATGGTTAATGTTTATCAGACTTGGATGTCACTGCATGTTCCTGTTTTTGAAGAAAACATTACCACCCTGTCTGTGTTCCACTTTTACCTTGGTTTACTGATTCATGTCTCTGTTGAATGTGTAAATATTTGTTAAGTGTACTTTTGTGATGTATTTATTTGTAATTGTTTTTTGTGTTTGTGGTGTTTGTGTGTTGTGTGTTTGTGGGTCCTGTCCTGTGTTTGTGTTTGTTAGAGGTAGTAGTGTAAGGCCCTGGATGGATAGCCTGGACCCCGAAACCCTGTATGTGTCTCCAGAACAGACTGGACAGCCCACACTCCCCCTCCCTACCTTGGAAGTCTCCAACGTGGCACTAGTGGGGTAAGGATCCGTCAGTCTACTCCGCTCTGTTCTCTGATAGTAGTTTGGGGGACAACAGAGGGCTGTAGAAAATCTGCCAGCACCCAGTAACCCACTGCCTGCACCATGCAGCCATATAAACTCTGTCTCTCACACAGTCAGTCAGTCAGTCCATACATACAAAGCTGTAAACAAAAAAATGCAACAGTAAGTGAAATGTATATAGATTCATGGTATGCTTTATCAGACAGATGTAATGAATTTAAGGCTTTTTATACTTAATGAGACATACTCACTGCCTGTTGTTAGCATGGTCCAAGAACTGGCTTCATGTTTTAAAAACAAAGTAAAACCTGAGATTCTGAAGACGTAATTCTCTACATTGGAAATGAGAAAGCTGTTGTGTCGTCATCTGATTGCCAATATTAACAAAAACCACAGTAACAGGATTTCGCGTAGGACTGCCTAACAGCCACCATAGTTTGAAGGTGTATACATGTAAGTGTATCTGTCTCAGGTACAGTACTCAGCATACACAGGGCTCTTAGTCCTTGGGTTCTTAGTTTAGTTTAAACTCACGATCCCATATTGAAGCATGACTTGGAAGTAGATGGGAAACAGGACTGGTTGAAGTAAAGGACCTCCGTGAAAGTGTATACGAAACAAGATTTCTTATTTTTAATCATAGACACTCTGAACCACTTCGCATTATATGCACAAACTTTTTCGAGGACCTTGGTTAAGTCTCTACAAGCGTTGCACACTTGGATTTGGGCAGTTTATCCCATTCTTATTGACAGATCGTCCCAAGCTCTGCCAGATTGGGTGAGAAGTGTCTGTGAACTGCTGTCGTATCTCCACAGATGTTTTCTAGGTTTTAAGTCTGGGCCACTCAAGGGAACTCATGGACTTGTTCTGAACATTTTCTTGGCTGTGTGCTCCGGATCACTGTCGTGCCAGTCTCCGGTCACATGCACTCTGGAGCAGTTTTTCTTTAAGGACCTCTCTATTGCTCTGTTGGCTGCATTCATCCTTCCCCTAACTAGTTTCTCCTTTTTAATGTAATGTAAAAAAAAAATTTTTTAAGTTTTCACTTTGTCATTATGGGATATTGAGTGTAGATTGATGAGGAAAAAAATGGATTCAAACGTTTTTAAGGTAACACTTGCTTTTACTAACTGCAGTGTCTATATTCCTCACAATGTCTGTTATTTAAGAATTCTGCAACATTATGTCCAGAATGTGATTAAAACACTGTTTGTTTGCAAGATTTTGTCAGCCATCTCCCAGTTCTGTCACATAATGCCCACTGTAATGGTGATATACCTGTGATCAGCACCTCTAGGAAGATGCTTGTGTTTTTTTACAGACTCATGTGTGATACTGAAAATATACAGACAGGTGACAAATTAAAGGAAAAATAGGTTGACAATGCCCCCATCTATAGCGCACAAGGTGTCACTGAGTGGTTTGATGAGTATGAAAATTAGGGCTGCATGATATGCAAAAAATATCATATTGCGATTATTATGGCAGATATTGCGATTTCAGTTGGAATAATCACTTTTTCATTTAATTTTCACTGAAAAAATATAAAAATGATGTGATTTTTGTTGGTCTTGTACCTTGTAACAAACACATCTGGAGAATATGATTTGTAATTGCAGGTCCTGGGATTTGGATATTGCACTTGGCCACATTGCGACTTTGATTGTATTTCGATTTAATTGTGCAGCTCTAATGAAAACGATGTGAATCTAGACAGTCACCAGATCTCAGCCCAGCTGAACACAATTATGAGAGATTTCAAAACACAAAATAAGGGAATATCTTTCAGAAGAACGGTGTTCATCCTCCAGTAGAGTTTAGAAATTTGAAGAATCAACACCAAGGAGCACTGAAGCTCTTCTGGCGGCACATGGTGGCCCAACACCTTACTACAACACTTAGTTGGTTTTCTGTTGGTTACCCGTCTTGCACATTATTGAGAGGATCTAAATGCATGTTGCACAATAAAGAACTACCAATCCGTAGAACAAAAAAAGAGGTTGTGTTGAGTCCAGGAAACGACTACCTGAAGGCAGGTTGGCAGATACAATAGTCCAGTGTTGTATTACATACATTCCTCGAGTTTATCTCATTTGATAGGTGTTGATGTGTATGTGCGTGTGAGTTTGTGTGTGCACTGTGTGGTGCACAAAGAGCAAAGCCAGTGTCATTTGACATTGTTTTTACACACACAAGTCACACACCAACCAGTGCAGCCTGCAGGACAACAGGGCAAACACAGCCCCCCTCAGGCCGGAACCTAATTGTTAGCCCCTGTTGTGCCTAGTCCAGGGATTAGCTACTGGCTGGGGAGTACTATTCACTCCCTCTTTCATTCCCTCTGCCCACTGGGCCTTATCACCATCAATCTGACACCCTGTTTATCTGATGCTGCAGCCAGATCTGCTGGCCTTGGAGAAATGTTCACAAAGGCCGTGGATCATCAGCACTTTGATTGTGGGACCCCAAATGGCCATTACTCTCTCTGGCCCCAGTGATCCCACCAGCACTCTGTCTCTATGATCCCCATGCAGTGGTTAGTCCCAGCCGCAGAACCTGGAAAGCCAACCTGAAGGCCTGTCACTTTGTGTCTGTCATTTGTACTCCTCTTCTTCCATATCAGACAAAGGTGTTTCCTCAGGCACATTTTGTTTGTTGTATTTGTTGCTCCAGTGGACGGGTTCTCCACGTGGATTGGTTTGTCGCGGCACACTGTTTCTCTCTGCCCTCTCTGCACTGCCGGCTGCCTTACAACACCAGTCACCAGGGACTTACCAGCAAGTGTATGCTCTGGAGTTTACCACCACCGTCTGATCACTCTATCAATTTAGCTTCATTGTGTTAAAGAAGAAGAAAACAAACACATTTTCCATCATGGCTTCTTTTAAGCTGGATTTCCTCCCTGAGATGATGGTGGACCACTGCTCTTTGAATTCTAGTCCTGTGTAAGTAACTTCCTCTGGCCATCTTTGTAAGTATTATATGTTTCATAGAGTTTCTGGAAATCAGCTGGAAAGGATGGATCTGTTTTAAGGTCTTTATTGTGATTTAGTGTATAATTAGTAATAATCATGAGCAGCTGTGTTGTAGTGTGTGAGGGTGGTAACAGGCCTACGAATGAGACATGCACTTTTCTTGATCATTTGTTTTTGCTCTGATTTGCTTTGTGGTTTTGTCATGCTCAGATATTCCCGATGTATATCTAAGCTGTACATATTTAATGCTGATTTGATTCTGAGAGTTGTCGTGAAAGACTTTAGTAAATAGTTGTAACCTTCTATTAGACCGTTAAAGTCTTTAAGCCAAATCATCATGCTTTGCGTCCATGGTTGGATCCAACTTTTCAATTGAATATTGAATGTGTTGACATCAAAATAGTTTTTCTGTACAATCAGCACTGCTCACTCTTTCCAGCAATATGGGTTCCTTCTGTGTCCACGGATGTGTTAGAAAGAAATCCCTCGAAAACTAGTGAGATCCTGTAGTTGCATTTTTATCTACATAGCACTCCACTCTGCTATGAGCTGCCGTGGCTCCTTCCTGTACGCCTCTGGTTCTGTTAATCAGTTCCTTTTCTTTTGGAAGCCCATGTCTGATTCTTGGCATATTATTTGTGCACGAAACAACAAAGTGATGTGGAGATTTAGTTTCAATAGGCTGCTCTGACAAACTAAAAATAACAATGAATGCATCTCCCACTTTAGTCTTCATAACCACATTATTAATATTTTTCTTCCCCAAAATAGTCCTTTGAGCAGATTTGCTTTTGCCCTGAAGTCATGTCACAGTGTATAAGTGTATATTGATTTAGATATCAAGGTCTTTGATTACAGTTGGTGTGATATTTGATCAATTATACTTGTCCCCTGGTACAGCTAACTCTCAGGTTGTGATATACTAATACCAATATATCAGCTAATACTCATTTTTTAACAGAAACACCAGCATTTCTGGAAGTATTCCTAAATGAGAAGAACATGATGCTGTTGTAAAATAAACTAGTTTTATTGTCAAAAGCAAAACTCTAACAACTACAACCATAAACCTCACTGGCAACAGCAAGACTACACATACACAAACATTAATAATGTCACAAAAAGTTTTTTGTTAGATTGTCAGTGACTGAAGACCAAGTGTTCACTCGCTCTTTAAATCTTTTTCTTACATATGCAAACGTACGGACACACACACACACACACACACACACACACACACACACACACACACCGGACACACACACACACACACACACACACACACACACACACACAAATAGAATGACTCTACAAACACTTAGATCATTCATTATGCCTTTTCTTTATGTAACATGACTAAAATAAGACTTGTATCATGTTTTTAACAGATTTTATATTTTATTAATAAATAATGTGAGACTAAAATAAAATTTAGATATGATAGTTTTTTACTATACACTATAAATGTTAAATTTATCTTTGAATCAGCTTATGAAGTTACATCCAGACATTTCACTGTGACATCAGAGCTCACCTGAGATTCCTCAGCTCACCTGTCTGTGCTGGTCAAGCAGCTGCTGACAGGATTCACCTGACAAGAGGATTCATGTTAGACAAGCTGTGGGAAATTTACCACATGTATATGTCCATAATATACTGACCCATACAAATGTAACTCAACTTCTGATCTACTTATGAAAGAGTGGAGGGGTAGGGTTAGCATTAGTTCATTACATATTAATCCTACATTTTACTAATGTCAAAGATGATACATTTGGGTCAGCTAAGCTCTTACTTAACCACACTTTGGTTCTTCATAAAAAAGACCTAATGTCCTACACTAAAGCCCCTTTTAAACTGGTAAAAAAAACAAACAGCTAACACCCACTTACATCGGTCTTTAGTCAGCAGTGAGAAAGGGTACAGTTGGTACTCATTCCCAGGTCAAATGACTCTCAGAAGTTGTGGGTGTTCATCAGCTCCGGCTCTGATCGGCAG